AGATTTATCTGATATTTCTAGATTTATCTTGATAAAAGGACACCGGCGAAACGTGAAACACCCTTCATATAAGGCTTCTGGTTATTAAAAAATCTAAAAATTACGTCACGCTCCAAATGTATAAATAATGAATTTATTTATCGTTGATGTTATACACATTCACTCACATTATTATTAGCATACTTATTCAACAAGGGCGTTACTCAAATATCTATTTTATTTTTAAACATAGGGGCATAAACAGTCTGACAATTTGATTTGCGCAAACCAGTGAGATGTTACATAGAAATAGAAGATGTTAATACAACCGTCTTAATGCAAATGCTATGTTCCCACTATCACGATTCGCGCCAGGAAAACGTGTCTGCGACCGTCAAATTTTCCAAATTGTTCTTTAAGGGGGGTGGGGGGTCTTACGGCACCACCATCTGTAACCTGCAATTAATTATTTATGGGCAATTCAGGTTCTGCCCCCCGTACATTCACTCATCGAGTCCGTACACCTTTGCTTGCAACTGATGGTCTCTCAACACAGGGATCAGTATAGAGCATAATAGGGTTTTGGGTTTTCTTCTGAAAGCCTACGTTCTAGAAGTCTCACTTCTATGTTAAACTCGGACCTCGTTGTATCTAACGGCATAATTACTTGCGTGCAATAACCCGGAGAAAATAGTACTTGCGGCTAAAGACCCCCCCCCCCCCCCCAACACAAACACACACTCCCCCGGGCCTGGGATTCAAGACCAAAATTATCAGCTGATTGACTTTAAATTTATACGTTTAAGGTCACGAGACGACAAAATCTGTTGATTTTCACGATTTCCGATAACTTAACAGCTAAATTCACTGTTTTATCATAAAATAGCACGGTTTTTGGGGGCATTCTTTCATTTGAAAATATAGATTATTAGACACAGTGCTGTTAACTTGTCCTGCGACAGGACCCAAATTTACAAATAGTTATAACTGCACTGCTTCAACATAATACAGCAAATTTGGTATCTGAACTAATGTGTTTGGACAGTGGACACTATCTTTTACACTGACTTTTCTACGAAAAAACATTTCTACATTACCTGATGAGTATAGGAACAGCAAAACCCTACTCTATGGCCTACATGACTCCAACAACGAAATTAATAACCTTAGCTTTACAACATCATATTTTTTAATTTAACTAAACGATTTTAAATTATTATTATTATTACATACTATAATACCTTAGGTGTATTCAGCTAAGTACGGGTTGTATATATTGTATATACATGAAGTGTATCTACTGCTTTTCATTATTAGTAGGGGATCACGGTGGCTAAGTGGGTAAGACGCTGGCTCGCTAGCCTGGAGGTTGGGTGTTCGATCCCTGCATTGGCCTAGAAAGTTCATCCAGATTTTCCAACGTGGTTCCCCCTTGTCAGTGATGCAGGACGGAGGGCCTGACAAGGACAGCTGTCTAGTCGTTCGGATGGGACGAAAAACCGGTCCCGTGTACACATTGGCGTGCACGTAAAAGATCCCTTGACAGATGGAATTCAATATAAGAGTAGGCCGTATGCCGCTGTCCGGGCAAAATTTCCCTCATAGCACACTGTATGGCGTATGCCCGTCTTCATTAGCCCAGTTCGGAGCAAAACAGTAGGACGTTAAACCCCATTTCGTTTCATTTCATTTCATTATTCCCGCGTCAGACCGGGGTGGCGCCCTTACTGCGCTGCTGCGACTGTACGGCGACCAGAAAATGCATAAGGTCGTCGGCAAACGTGAACACAACACGCGAAAATGTCCCAAAAAATTAAAAACTTGAAAAAAGTCGTGTTCTCATAGCTTTCCAGTTCAAATCGCAGTACCTTGGCGTTTGTTTTGAACATGCTCAAAATAAACGCTGTGACTCGGCGATCATTGGCGTTTCCACCACGCTTATGGCGATCTTAACGCGCTCTAAAAACCATTTTCCGTAGCAGCGAAGTAAGGACGCCACTCTGGTCTGACGGGGGTATTATTAGTATATAATTGGGGTCTGACAGGCATTTGTCTGTTCCACAATTTCCCATCCATTTATAGTGAATTATGTCTTGGAAAAAAAATTGTTTTTACCAATATCTACTGGTTTAAGGGGCCAGCTAACACCATTGGGTGTAACTTCAATTAAATGAAAGAATGCCCCCCCCCCCCCTAAAAAAAATGAATTTATTTATGTGTTCAAAATACATTTATAGGATCTTAAACAGTTTGATTAGAGGTGAATGTCGTCCATCTTCGATTTGACTAATTTTATTAGTATATAATTGGGGTCTGACAGGCATTTGTCTGTTCCACAATTTCCCATCCATTATTATAGTGAATTATGTCTTGGGGGAAAAAAAAATGTTTTTACCAATATCTACTGGTTTAAGGGGCCAGCTAACACCATTGGGTGTATCTTCAAATGAAAGAATGCCCCCCCCCCCCTAAAAAAATGCATTTATTTATGTGTTCAAAATACATTTATAGGATCTTAAACAGTTTGATTAGAGGTGAATGCCGTCCATCTCCGATTTGACTAATTTTACCGCTTTAAGTGAAGGGACCAGTTAACACCACGGGTATATCTTCGAATGACAGAATGACCCCAAAAGCATAACATAATAATATATTTTGGAATTTCTTTTACCGCCCGTACATTCATTGGATTTGATTAATTTGACCGCTTTAAGAAAGTTTAAGTTAGGGGACAGTTGCACCACTGGTATATCTTCAAATGAAAGAATATCCCCAAAAAGCATTAATTTATATGATCATAATTCAGTTCAGGGGTCTTCAACCAACAGTTTAGGATTTTCTTGTAGGTTGATAAGGCGAATGCTGTGGGCCATCATGGATTTTACCGCTTTCCTACATGTATTTCCTGTCCGGTGCGCAAAATTTGGTAAACTTTAGAGATCGTTATTATAGCCTAAAATATACCTAAATAAACGCAAAAATGCATAAAAACGTTTTCTTGCAATTTGTTAGGAATAAAATCATAAATAAAATTGACTGGCCTAATGGGATCGTAAGAGAATGAACCCAAGATTTCTTCAAGGAGGATCCTTATCAAATTTGCTCAACATCAAGTTTTCCTTTCGAAGCTGTTGACAGTTGACACCATTCACCGAACACAAATTGGCGACCTATTCCGCTAGCCACCTATTCGACCGATCCAGCTGGCAACCTGTTCGTTGGCAACTTATTCACAATTATGCCAACATTCGCCCAAACTCATCTATTTTACCGTTCTTTCACTTTAAAATATTGAAAAATTGGCGACGTTCAGGTTGAGAGCGCGCCCCTTTAATATGATTGTGCCAACTTTTACTAATAATATTTGGAAAGCTTATTCAATTACCTTTCAGAATGTATAAATATAGCTGGATGCTCAAAAGTTTGTACGGTGGTCCGAATTTTAACACGGAATATTACCTTTCTTTCACTTTAAAATATTGAAAAATTGGCGACATTTAGGATGAGAGAGCTACCCTTTAATATAATTGTGCCAACTTGTACTAATAATATTTAGAAAGCTTATTCAATTACCTTTCAGAATATATATAGCTGGATGTTCAGAATTTTGTACGATGGTTCGAATTCCGACTTTGAACAAAATATCGGTCTATCTTTACATTTAGAATATTGAAAAATGTTCAGGTTGAGAGCGCACCCCTTTAATATAATTGTGCCAAGTTTTACTAATAATATTTGGAAAGCTTATTCAATTACCTTTCAGAATATATATAGCTAGATGCTCATTATGGTGTACGATGGTACGAATTTTGAATCGGAATATAACGGTTCTTTCACTTTAAAATATTGAAAAAATGGCGACGTTTAGGATGAGAGTGCACCCCTTTAATATGATTGTGCCAACTTTTACTAAGTATATTTGGAAAGCTTATTTAATCACCTTTTAGAATATATATAGCTGGATGCTAGGAATTTTGTACGATGGTCCGAATTTTGACTCGTGATATTAACGGTCTTTCCCTTTAAAATGTTTTAAAAATTTGCCATGTTTAGGATGAGAGCGCGCCCCTTTAATATAATTGTGCCAACTTTTACTAATAATATTTTAGTAAATAATATTTCAGAATATATATAGCTGGATGCTCAGAATTTTGTATGATGATCCGAATTTTGACTTCGAAAAAAATACCGGTCTATCTTTACATTTAGAATATTGAAAAATTGGCTATGTTCAGGTTGAGAGCGCGCCCCTTTAGTATGATTGTGACAACTTTTACGAATAATATTTAAAAAGCTTATTCAATTACCTTTTAGAATATGTTTAGTTGGATCATCAGAATTTTGTACGATGGTCCAAATTTTGACACGGGATATTAACGGTCTTTCTCTTTAATTTGTTTAAAAAATTGGCCATGTTTAGGATGAGAGTGCACCCCTTTAATATGACTGTGCCAACTTTTACTAATAATATTTGGAAAGCCTATTTAATTACCTTTCGGAATATATTTAGTTGGATGTCCTGAATTTTGTAAGATAATGCGAAATTACACCTCTATTCTGGGGCTAAAGATATGGATAAAAAATAATATATTCTACTTTCATTTGATAGACGTTTCGTTGGATTTTATTGGTTGATGAAAATAGATGAGTTTGGGCGACTGTTGGCATAATTCTGAATAGGTTGCCACGAACAGGTTGCCAGCTGGATCGGTCGAATAGGTCGCTAGCCGAATAGGTCGCCAATTTGTGTTCGGAACACCATTCTTTTAATTGTCAGTGATTTTAGTTTTTTAAGTTTGTAAGTTTGTGCATTTATCATCATATGTTTGCGCAATAGGCCTATAACCCGGTGGGTGCTGGCCATAGAGTTATATATATATAACTCTATGGTGCTGGCGTGCCATTAAAATTAAATACAATTTATAAGTTTGGAATTTAAGGAACGGTATCCTGAATCCATTCTAATTAGAGTTGTTTCCCTTCCATTTAGTTAATTTCAATGAACTTCCGGAAAATCATCTAAAATTAGCTCAGAAATTTACCAGTTGTTGTATGAATGTAGGTTGTACAGACGTAGAAGAATTTAATTTTTGTTTTAATTATGTTGTTTTGTATATTTTATTGTATATATTGAGAATGAGTATCCAGCATAAAAGTTTTATTCTGCTGAGTAAAAAGACTGGTAAGAAACGGGATAAAGTTTCGTCGACGTTGATGAGACCAAAATCGAAAACGGAAGTTTTGCCAGGAACTTTGCTTCGATTTTTTGACGAAGTTACGAAAGGTTCAACCTATTATTTATGTTTAGTATCTGTGGATTCAGAACCGGTAGAGATAGAATGTATTCCCGGAGAAGCCGAAGAAATAGAACAACAAGTAATGGATTTATTACAGTCAATACCAACATGTTCTGACAGACTGGCTGTTTATAATGACAAGGATTGGTTATCCGAGGGTCTAGCAATAACACGTAGAGCTAAATCAAATGAAAGTTTGGATGAACCCGCCTATGTCAAATTAAAGATGGACAGTTGTCTTTCACCTGGGACAATCCGTTTTGTAGGAAAACTTCCAGATTTGAAAGGAATATATTTCGGAGTAGAGTTGACGGTAATTATTGTGATTCCTTACATCATGTATTATATATATATATTATATATATTTGTTATCTTAAGATTTGTCGATTCCATAGTCCATACACTGCCGAAACTCTTAATACATATTTTGCGGAATTAACTGATTTAAATGAATTGTCATGATAATTACATGTAGTTCAATCAGTTTTTATCTGCAGTGAAAACTATTCACTTTTTAGGGGTTTTTTTAATGACCAAACCATGAAAGTGAAAACTGCCTTATTATGATTCTTTGAATAAGCCTATCTTGTTATCCCAGGAAGATTGTTTCTTTCCCTTTTTTAAATTCTATAAATGTTATCTTTAAACCACTTCAAAAAAGGTTTATCATCATTCATAAAATGACATAATATTTCCTATTTTTAGAGCTACAATTCAGTGTATGACTAAATCATTTCATTCATTTCACCTGGTGTGAGTTATATATCTCACTAAGAAGATTTGTGAAAGTAGAACAAAAAGTAGAATATAATTGACCAGGAGTGCATTGGCCAACTGCATCTGCTCTCATTCATCAACTAATAGATATATCAGCTTACCTAAGATTCTGCTGGAGACATCTGCGTTCTCTTTACTTTAAAACTTATTAGGCCCAATAGTTAAGTAATAAATTAAAGCTATAATTTCATATTTTTAAGTTATATTTTGAAAATGTATTAAAATAAAGTCTTAAAATCTATGCTATGTATAAACAGTCCTACCTTGATAACGAATAATCCTATAATTCATCATTGCCAGTTGAGAAATTGGCAAAAATATCATTTTCAACTTGAAATTCAAACGTTTGAAGATAGCTATTCCATGGTAGGGAATAGAAAAACAAGGGAGGTAATTAGAAGGTAATTGTGTTATTATTTCCGGTATGAAACATTTTTGAGTGTGAGAATGATAACTATGATCGTATAATAGTGAATTGACAACCTGGTGAGCAAGACGTAGAAATAATTATGCTTTGACTTTCTTAGAAAATATGAAATTGTAGCTTTAAGTAAATATTTATTTTCTGATAATTCTTTTTAGGCCTGTAATGTTTTTTTATTTATTTTTTTATCTATTCACTATTAATACGTTTTATTATTGTAGGATCAGCTAGGAAAAGGAACTTGTGATGGAAAAGTAAGAGGTCATCAATATTTTAAATGTCCAAAAGACAGTGCCGTTTTTATTCCTATTAGTAAATTGCGTAAACTTAAAGAAGGTTTTGAACAGAGTGAATTAACAAAAGCCAAGGGCAGTCAATATAAACCTAGAAAAACAACAGATAAATCACATCCTGACTGTAGTTTGTTAATAGGAGATCGAGTAGTATGGATGAGAGATACTGGTAAAGCAGATGTTCAACCATTTGATGGAACAGTTAAATGGATTGGTATATTACCTGATGCAAAAGATCAAAGCTTAACTGTAGGGGTGGAGTTTGTAAGTTTAAAAACATACATGTACCAGCACAGTGTTATTGATGTATGTTAATGGTTAAACTGTTTGGCTTTGGGAACTTCAATTATTATGTTATACGGTATCTGATTTGGTAATCCCTGCATGAAACCGAGTACCAATGAAAGTAGAAAGGTCTGTTAAAGCCTCTGCATCATTTGCATTTTCAGAATCAAGTGTTATTGATTTCAGCACAGTGTTATTGATGCATGTTAATGGTTAAACTGTTTGGCTTTGGGAACTTCAATTATTATGTATACAGTATCTTCTTTGGTAATCCCTGCATGAAACCGAGTACCAATGAAAGTCGAATGTGTCGTCTTGGCTGTTAGGTTTATACTCATGACAAAAGAGCCGTAAACCAAAACAGACCAAAACTTTGCTCAAAACTGACAAAACTTTTATTCAAACCGACCATTGATTGGTTATAATGACCATAAAAGAACCAAAACAATGGATTACATATTTCTTATTTTATAAGAATCCAGTGATATATTTTAGATGAATTTTGACCACATTTTTGCTTGTTTTGATAAATGAATGAGATTTTTGGTGGTTTTAGTTTATGTCCAACTAGCTTTTATCATCGACATCAGCAGAGGATTTTGAATGTTGCTAAATTTTCAATTCGTAATATCTTTGTTAATATTGAACTGAATTCAAGAGCCATTTTTAGACTGATATTCCTTTTAGAACATCGTAGTGCAAGGGATTAACAATCCCTCAATTGATATTAATTATTCCTTTTTTATACGCCCACATTGAAATGTGGACGTATATTGCCGTCGCCCCCGTCTGTCTGTCGGTCCGACTCCATACATCATCAACAATTTCTTGTGAACGCTCTAACGCCAAAAGTTATCATCCAATTGTTTTAAAATTGATATATGTTGTTTACATTAGTGAGATGAAGAAGCCTATTTAATTTCAATCATTTCCGTTTATTACATCTAGAGTTATGGCCCCAGTTTCACTTTGTTGAACCTTGCGAACGCTCTAATGCCAAAAGTTAACATACAATCTTTGTGAAATTCATATGCAATATTTAAGTTAGTGAAACGAAGAAGCCTATTGAATTTCAACAATTTCTGTTTATTACGTCTAAAGTTATGACCCTTGTTTCACTTTATTGAACCTTTTGAACGCTCTAACACCAAAAGTTATCACCCAATCTTTGTGAAATTTATGTGCATGATTTAAATTAGTGAAACGAAGAAGCCTATTGTATTGAATTTCAGCAATTTCCGTTTATTACGTCTATAGAGTTATGCATCATTTAAATTTGTGAAACAGGTCTATTGAATTTCAGCAATTTCCATCAATAATTTCTAGAGTTATGGTGATTGTGAACGTTTGAATGACAAAAGTGATCATGTGATCTGTATGAAATTTATATGCATTATTTAAATTAGTATAACGAAAAATCCTGTCAAATTTCAACAACTTCTGTAGATTACTTCCAGAGTTGAGATCCTTGTTTCAGTTTGTAGAACCTTGTAAACCCTCAAACGACAAAATTTATAATCTGATCTGTATGGAACAGTCTTGTAAAGGCCCCCAATTACCTACAAAGGAATAAATATGCGACAACCCTTGTCGACCGCTCGGACGATTTAGCTGCTGTGGGCGTATGTTTTGTTGCCTGGCAACCTATCTTTAAGATTATTAGATTGTAGGAAAATATTCTCCTCTTCTATATAAACTGATACATTCCTGATGTACCATGATAATTATAAATCTTCATAGTTTTAGAAATATAATATTTAATTGTATTAATTTGAGTGCTATGACAAAAATGTCAAATTACCATTGTTTCCTTTCAGGACAAACCCATCGGATCTGGGACAGGAAAATATAGCGATCATCGTTTATTTTATGCTAAACAAAATCATGCTTCTCTTATTCCAATTCTGGGATTACTGAAAGCTGATGAATTTTATCCATCAGGTATGTCAAAATTGTTATTGGTACCGGGTATCTCAAGTTTAAGAGTAGGCGCAGGGGAACTGGAAATGATGAAATTGGTTCACCTCGCTCGCAGGTTTCTACAGTAAGCATACAGATCTGATCAAAGGAACTGTTTATTAGGATATGATAAACATGAATATACAGGGCTAATTGCTTACATTACATGGTTTGTTTAACACTTGTCAAGTGACACATCTTTCATCTGCTTGCAAATTGTATGTTTTTGTTTTAAATTTCAACATTAAAAGACAATATATATAGTGCATTATAGCAAATTATTTCAATGTGAATGACTTTTCTCTTTCCTTCTTTCCTACATGTCCCCTTGAGAATAGCTGCACTCAAATCTGTATACTGCATTACTGTAATCTCACAGAGAATATCTTATTCCAATATGCTGGTGTCTGACATCAACATAATTTGCTTATTTATATATTTAGGAGAATATATTTGTGCCACAATTTAACACTTGAGTACATTATTCAGTGTAACATGTGGTATGGGTATTTTACAAATGGCTACTTCAAAGTACTAGTCAACAAAATACTGCAGTATATCCAGGTCACCTTCCAGCGAAATACAAATGTACACTTTGTACATTGAAAGATGGAATAATTTTAATAACTAGGTTTCAGGTAATTGATGCCAATAGATGAAAATTAGTTATGTATTGATACATTATAAAGCCTACTTGAAAAATATTCCGATTGAAATGATGTCGATATGACAAAAAGTAAAACTCAAATTGTTCCATACTAAAGGAATAACACACATTGCATGACCTTTGTTTCACTTTATTGAACCTTGTGAACACTCGAACGCCAAAAGTTATCATTCGATCTTTCGGAAATTTATATGCATTATTTAAATTAGTGAAACTACTGAAACAAAGAAGCCTATTAAATTTCAGCAGTTGATTTAAGGTATTAAAAACGGTTAAAGTACTGTCGTCTCCAAACAGTATTGTTTACATTATATCCGTGTTGATATTTGGAGCTCTGTTTAAAGCGTAATGATATTGTTACGCAGTTAGCTATTGATTGTTAATTGGACTATGGCCAGTCATGATTTGGAACAGAAATTTGCTTCCTTTACAGCAGTGTTAAGTGGGATTAGCTCTAATCAAACGAAACACTGCGAGGAGTATGATACTGTGCTAGATTGATAAGTTTGCTTTTGTATTACAGGAGTTGCTAATAATATAGATGCTGATAGTGGAATGTATACAGAATCAACACCATATTCTAATATATTACCAGATCCTAGTGATACTAATAGACGACCCCAAGTACATTCATATACAACCAATGATATTCAAACTTCAAAACCTGAAAAACAAACATCAAAAACTGAATATATTTTCAGGAAAGATAAATCTGATTATTCCCTTGAAAATTATTCTAGGACTCCTATTGAGAATTTATATACCCATAGAGGTAGTAGCTATGATGATAATGGTAGATATCATTCATTAATTCTTAATAACAGTGAGAGTATCAACAGGAGACCTGGTAGATCCACTTCTGATACACATTTCGGAACAAATGTTTTAAATGAAGCTGACTATAAAGAAAAAGGACTGAATCCAATGTACGAATATTCTCGTCTTCAAGGCAAGTCTTAAAGGAGCTTAACATCTAACTCAATATTATCCTTGATATTTTAAATTAAAAACATAATTAAAATTCAATGTTGGCCCATTTCAATGTTGTTACCTTACCGTAAAAATATGTGGTCCTAATATCCATTATTTAAAGAGCATATAAAATGACCACAAAATTATATGTACTTATAGCTAGTGTTTCTATATACACTTTACAACAGTTTCACAACAATCTGATTAAAATTAAATCGATATATTGCCATTTATGTGTTGGATGCTCTAAAACACTTTTCAATTTTTCGATTACAACCTTAATCCGGTTGATTTGCACAGGGACTACACAAACGATATTACATTAATAATTATTGATGGTTCAGTTAACATACTGACTTAACTAATCATTACCTAATGCTACAAATAAATGAACACTTTAGGCAGAAGAATTGTTACGAGCGGACCGTTCTCGTCTTGAATTGTTATAGATTACAAACTTGTGACTGGAAAACTTGGCAGTGAATTTTAAAATGCTGCATTGTCTTTGTGTTTTTCCAAGTTGTGGAAATTCCTACAAACAAAAGGGACATACTGCACATATTTTCTGATTCACAACAGTATCTAACCAATTTGTATTCATATCACACTTCAATTTAAATTTGACCCAGAAACTAATCAATACTTTCCCAATCTATCATATACAATACATAAATTAAAAGTTAATATAGAATGAAATCAAGCTGCTCTGGAATTCATCCCATTAAGTTTGATCTCCTAAGCTTGTCTCCATTTTGCAACGATGGCTGTTTCAATAAACCTTATTTTAATTCTGTCGTGGCAGCTTTTTTTGATGATATATACAAACTAAATTTGATTATGCAATCAATTCAGGTGCTAATTAAATTATTACTTGTAGAGATTAACAGATTAACTTATTCTACTGTATGGAAAAAGTGTAATATACATGTGTAAAGTTGTAAATAATAAACAAAACATATGTAACTAAACTAATGTATGAAACATAGTGTACAATTTTCGTTTTGATTCTAAATTAAAACCCTGGAAATAAGAATTTTTCGCCCATCTTGTAGTTTTAATCGGAAGCCTATTACTGCAGATGTCTTGTTGGATTATTTGAATTCTTTTGATTAAAATGGCATGGGGAATATTGCTACAGCATTGGTTATGGCATTTATAAGACAAATTCTAAATAGGATCTAAAATTAAAGAATTATTAATAAGTTATGCTAATTTGTCTCGCTCATTTCATATTAAACAAATTATTCTGTAGTTAAAGTAATGGTGTGTCACTTGCATTCTTTCGCTAAAAATCCACCCTAAATTAATTATGAATGGATTTAAATTAAATTTCTGTGTATATAAACACTGGCTTTCAGTACATATTGTTTTATTATGGCACATTTTATGTGCTTTGTAAGACACATCATTTTAAAATCAGTACACAACGTCCTGTACTCTGTTGTTTTGAGTGTCATTTGTAATGAACAATTGTAATGTCCTACAAGACAGTGAGGTAGTAATTAGTAATACCTGTAGAATGGACTAAGCAGGTTCAATTGGGACTGTTCACATATTTCACAGAACCTAACTGATTAGAATTTACAATAAAACTTTTAAAAATTGAATGTAGATCACTTTATTTACATTCATATTACATTAATATGTGCTTTTAGATCCAATTTCGTCTATTTTAAGGTTCCAAAGATTAGAGCCATAAGCCCTTTAACAATCTCTTTTTATAAAATTTCTAAGAGACAATAAGAAATTGTGTCATAACCGGTTTTGTCAAGATAGCGGTGTCTGTGATTCTCCTAAAACGGCGAATGGCAAACGCCAAAAAGTAGGGATAGTGCGACTTGATGATCAGGATTCTTAAAGAAGACATGTCTTTAAATGGCATTTAAAATATACATTTCTTCGTTTCGTTGTGAATTTTCAGGTGGTTCTACTTTTTACAGCAGAATAAAAAATATGCAGGGAATAAAGGAATCCCTATCATCAAGTCACATTATCACATTATCACAGACATAGCCAAGATAGTTGTGTTTTAAAATAAAAACTGACATCATTTTAAATACTATTTTTAGATGTGGGAATTTATGACACAAATAGCTTGAATACATTTGTAATTTCCTGGAGGAAAACCCCACCATAACAAAGAATGTGATCAGTTATCTCCCTTATATCCACTCTACCTCTTTTCATTGTGACTCTAGAAGAAAACAATGTTGTTGTTCTATATTGTTCTATATATTAAATCAAAGGTTTATGTGTCATTCTGAATCAAAATAACTGTAAATGTTACATATATTTAAAATGGTAAAGGCTGTGTAAAAGCTTTACTGCTTTTGGAATTAGTTTCCTGTTGCATCTTATTTTGAAAACCAAATTCAATGTAGAAACTACTAAAAGTCCATTTAATTCAACATGTAGTTTTTGATCTTACCTGAAACTAAGATGTCGAGTACTTTTACATCTTGTTTTGTATACTTTTAAAACAAGTAATAATGCATTTGTTTTTGTTTATTTAGATGAAGAAAGAGATATGACTTCTAAAAGTAGACCGACTTTAGTTGATACTGATCTTTGTGAAGGATGGAGGGTAGTGGTACCATTAAAACAACCAGTATATGGTGTGATAAGATGGATTGGAAGATATGATGGGAAAGAGATGGCAGGAATAGAAACGGTAAGTTGACTTATACTAAAGTACAGAAAAATGAATGGATTGAAATTATTTTATTTTACTAGGATACTTCCCATACAAGGGAATCACCACCACAAAATGTACCGGTACTTAATATTTTCACTTGTATTTTTTGTGTTGGATAAGCTTATACTGGTATTTAGTTTTTACAGGTCCACATGGTCGTATATTGCCTCTTTCGGTCCTCTGTCCACAATTTCTTGTGAACACTTTACAGACTACATTTATTAGGACTGAAACGATACGTTGTGCCATGATATGATACAGTATCATGTCCTAGCCCAAAGATACAGGTACATAACGATACACATGCATTTACTGTGAAATTCATTAAATTTTGCTTGAAATAAAAGAAAAAAAAATAATGTTTCAAAGTTATATTGTTTACTAATCGATAAGTTAAAATTAAGATCTAACCAATATTTTTGGCACTATTTTTTAATCAAATTGAATCAAAATACACAATTATTGACTCAAAATTTTGCAGACTAAATGGTCCCACACTTTAGATCAGTAAGATGCAGGTGGATTTTCGATCTCGACTTCACCCAGTGTAATACTACTGACATGGACGTAATAGTCAAAGAAAAATACCCCCGAATGTTAAACATAAACTCAACACGGTAATCGCATCGGAAAATCGAAATGACTGTGAAATGCGATTTTATTGGTGTAAAATTTATGGCTTCCGGTATTTTGAACAATATTGAATTTCAGCAATTTCTGTTTTTTAACTTATACAGTTATGGCCCTTAATTTACTTTGTTGAATCATGTGAACACTCTAACGACTTAAGTTATCATCCGATCTGTATTACATTTACATGCATTATTGAAATTAGTAAAACAAAGAAAGAAATCTATCGTATTTCAGAAATTTCCATTTATGACTTCTAGAGTTATGGCCCTTGTTTCACTTTGTTGAACCTGTATGAAATTGATATTGGTATCTTGTAAATGCTCCTATTACCTACAAAAGTATAAATAGGTGACAACCCTTGTCGACTGCTCAGACGATTTAACTGCTAAGGATGACCGCTCAGACAATTTAACTGCTAGGGGTATATGTCTCATTACCTGGCAACCTATCTTTTATTTCAGGATGAAGAGGCTGTAGCTGGTACTGATGGAACCTTTAACGGTCATAGATATTTTAACTGTGCCCCAAAACATGCATTTTTTGTTCCACTTGTTAGATGTCTGAAAGATAGACGCTTTTATACAAGTTTAAGGAGCATGTCGGCTAATGGATTTGGTTCATTAGAGACACCCGATATAGATGCAGATATTTCCCCACCGACATCATTAGATCGTGATTTAATTTGTGGTAAAAGCCGTGGAATACAAGGACATCATAATTCATGTTACTTAGACTCAATGTTATTTTCTATGTTTTACTTTACGCCTGTTTTTGATGATATTTTATACCGGACTAGAAGACCAACAGATATGGAACCTTATGAAACAGTACAAAAAGTTATTAAAGATGGCATTGTGAATCCCCTAAGACGGTAAGTTGGTGGGGGGGGGGCTGAATGTTCTAACGTTTGCACCAGTGATGGGATTTCAAACCGAAAATAAAGGGACATAACTCTTAGCATTATTTAAGCAGGCAGTTTTAGACCACACACAAAAATCACGTGTCAACAAAATATTCAGATTTTTACGTAATAAAAAATAGGTGCATCTCGTTATCTTTCATAGTTAATTCCCGTATGATATTCAAATTTATGTCAGTAATATTCCTACATAATTACATGATGTAGTAATATGATAGAATGAATGCATGCCGACTACTGCCGACCCGTCCTGTTTCAAATTCCTCCAACATTACCCTATTTTTCGGGTCATAAGTTGATACATTTTTCAGCAGAAGTCTAGCATTCGTCTTATACTCCTTTTCAACTTACATACAAAGGTAAAAAAATAACATCCTGAAATTTATTTGGCAGTAAACATCGCTCTACCACAACGATTGAGTGACACATCTGCTAATGACACCATTATCAACGATAATCGGGGGTTGAGTGGTAGATATATATACACTCAGTACCCTATATTAATTTTGGAATTTTGAATATTATTCACCATACCTTGATGTCCTGGTCGGACAATTTAGGACGTTTGGAAAATAGCGTCGGACATGTCTGGAATATACGGGCAAAATCTCATCACTGGTTTGCACTGTTGATCAAGACTTGTCTAGTGTTTGTGGGTTCAATCCCTGGCTAGTTCGTCGCTTGTCTGACATTGTGAGTTTTCTTAGGTTTCTCTGGTTTCCATTTATTATTAAAGGACCTTACAAGTAAGTGAATTATTGTCTCCCGCCTTTCAAAGAAAGCAGGGGACTATTAAAATATCTGTCACACTCTTTGGGACACAATAACTCTCATTCTAATTGAGCTAAAATGTTCAAACTTGGAGTATGTTTTTATTAGGTGAATACCTTGATGGAGTTTGAAGATCATCATTTTCTGCCTAGGCTAAGCTTTGGAACACAATAACTTTGGTTCTAGTTAAGTGAGACTGATAAAAGTTGTATAGTTTCATTACATCAATACCATGACTAAGTTTGATAATGAGCATTTGATTGGTTGAGACTTTAGAACACAATAACTCTCCTTCTAATTCGGGTAGAATGTTCAAACTTGGTGAAGGTGTTTATTAGGTGAATGCCTTGACAGGGTTCGAAGATGGGCATTTTCTACTAGGCTTAGCAAAGATAAGCAATTTGATTGGTTGATGCTTTGGGACATAAGAACTTTAGTTCTAATTAAGTGAGACTGATGAAACTTGGTGTATAGTTTCATTGCATCATTACAGCGATAAGCAATTTGATCGGTCAAGACTTTAGAGCTCGATAACTTTGAATGACAATGGCAGACATTGCATTAACGCAATTTTTTCAAAATGAACGGAAATATTGACAGACGCTGTGTAATTTATACACAGAAAATTTCCTAACGTGTTAATAATTATGTTATTGTAGGCCTATGTAGTAGTTTGTACACTACGTCATCAATTTATGTGCTTCACGTGGCATTTACATACCGCTACTGTACATAGTCTCTGTAGGTTTTATGTTTCCTCTTATAATTATATGGGGGTTGGATGGCCGAGCAATAAAGGACATTTCATATAAGACTTAGGATTGGCTAGAACACGATAAACTGTTTACGTTCAGCCAATCAAAAATTGGCTTTTGTAGTGAGGGGGGTTGGATGGCCGAATGGTTAGCATGTGCGTGCTGTGTCATAAAGCCTGTCATTGAGTCAACTGGCGTGGTTTCGAATCCCCAGTTATACGTGACAAGGAGTAGGGTCGCCGGTCCAATCTCGTGGGTTTTCTCCGGGTCCTCCTGTTTCTCCCACTGCTAAAGACCCCTACGCGCAAGCAAATTATTGAAATAAAATTTTTAAAAAAACATGTTAGTCCCGAAATGACCTAGTTTGTGTCGAGTGGACGTTAAACCCCATTTCTCTCTCTCTTTTGTAGTGATAGTTTGCTCTTTACTTCCTGTCGAAGTGAAAGATTGAAATGACTGTCATCAACTATAGATACGTCGTCAACCTCCAGTCTTCATCAGACTAAATAAAGTATCAATACGATAAGAACGCTTAAAATAGGGTTGTTCAAAATTGATTTTACTGGCTTCTATTGAGTATTTTGAGAGGCTCTAAGTCACGCAGATGTAGAGGGCAAAAACACAAAATTTTGGAATGTCTGCGTTTTTTTACGCAACTCAAAATTGATCCACTTCGACCTCTGGACAATGGTGAAACTTTGTGTATAGTTTTCATTACATCAATACCTTGACTAAGTTCGATAATCATCATTTTCTGCTTAGCCAAAGAAAAGACTTCCATCTGATTGGTTGAGACTTTGGAACACAATAACTCTCCTTCTGATTGAGGTAGAATATTCAAACTTGGTGTAGGTGTTTATTGTATGAATGCCTTAATTGAGTTCGAATATGGTTGAGACTTTGGAACACTATTACTTTGGTTCTATTTGGGTCACAGTGGTGATATTCAGAATAAAAATTCATTATATCAATACCTTGACTAAGTTCGATGATGAGAATTTTCTGCTAAGGCTAAGTATAGCGATAAGCAATTTGATTGGTCAAGACTCTGCTTTTGATTTAGGTAGAATGTTTATACTTGGTGTAGATGTTCATTAGGTGAATATATTGACTGAGTTGAATGATTAACATTTCCCACTAAAGCTAAGCAGAGCTAAGCAATTTCATTGGTCTATGCTTTGGGACAAGATAACTTTGATTCTGCCTGATGGAGAGTGATGAAACTTAGTGTATAGTTCCACTACTGGGTACTTAAAAACCTTGAGTTCAGTTGTGAACATGTTATGCTTAGACTAGGTATAGATAATCAAAAAATGCATGCACAATTAATGGATATATGTCATCTATTTATTTTGGGATTGTGGTGGGGGGACATCAGCCCCACTGTTGGCTTGCTGAACCAAAGATATACATGCTTGTCCCAAAATTACCTACGGTATTTGCTTTAAACACCATCCATCTCTTTAAAATGGTTAGATAATGGAAAATAAAGAGTATCCTGCATTATTTATTTAAAACAGTCGGCCCCCAAACTGCCTAATTTCTCAGTAATTGGATATGATGTACATATATAGTAAATGTCGGATTCTGCTTGTAGTTGTGAATCATTTTTATCAGATATAGCACCTTAAATATCAACAATTAGTGCCTCAAAGTATAATTGGCAATAAGAAAACCTTTCACAGATACTCCAAAAACACGAACGTATCCTTTCTATACTACATTTTACAACACAATCTTCCTTTCGGGAGTCGGTCTGTTTTCTGCCAAGCTTATTTATTCAGACATAATAAATGCATGGAAATATTGGTCATCTGTCAGGAAAACGTGACTACTATGTCGCGTGTCTTCACTCTTCTCTCTATTGCTTAATAGTCTGAACGTAATATTCATGATTTTCAATGTTAAATAACTTTTCCAATGATCATAACAATGCTCGAAGTTTTTACGTAATTAGTCGGATGCTGCCGATTTGCGAAACTGAAATTTTGACATCGCGCGCTTGCATTGATCTCATATTCACATCAATGCACAATAAAACATAATTCTATTGTGAATGTTAAGAACAGGATGAACAACACTTTATTTACATGTATTTTTAATTAAAGATACATTATGGGAGATAAGATAACGAGATGGCAGTTCTCGCTGAAAATTTCAGTCAAATTGATCCACTATGAGCCGAGAAAGAAGCGGGTGAAATTTTGGCATAGTCTCGGTCATCATTACTAAAATCATTATAATAAACAGCTTAGTCTCGATTGTCCACTTTTATTGATTTAATTATCAACGGCCGTTAGCGGCATATATGAATCTAATCCAGCCAACATCGGTCAGGCGTTAATGAGTACACATCTCTCTATGTATTTGGTAATTAGGGAATTAACATTTCTAATATAAATTCAGTCACTGTGACGTCATTGACGTTAGAGGGGTTTAAGAGTGTTTTCGATAATTGACAAAGTCATTTTTGCGGGTGATCTATAATTGCAACTTTGAGTGATAATGGCTCAATTAAGTTTAATCAGATTGATGTGAACTTGCCGTAATATGAATCTAGTAACCACTGGCTATAAGTACATAACATTTTGTTTGGCCATTTTTAAAGTGTAGATGTACACACTATCCATCTAGTCAGCAATGGGAATGCCGGACTGGCCAAATGCTAATATGGTATACAATATTAACAGGCTTCATTCATTGACGCACACATACACCCAACATATTTACAAACACATATACATACTATTATCCAAGTAATTGGTTTTGTGGATTTTGACTTTTTAACTTAATATTATAATATGTATATTTTAGTAATCATTATGTGAGAGCTGATAAAGTGATGAAGTTACGAGAATTATTAGATAAACATAGCTCTATACTTGGAATGATGAACGAAGAGAAAGGTGAATATCATTTTCACTTGAAATTGAAATGGTTATGATTTTGTATCAACATAGATCTGAACAAATATTATAGATAGAACATACAACATCAAGATAGAAAACATTGCAACATAAAATTATTGCAATCTGCCAAAACCCAAATCCTGTCATATGGATAATGAATCGATGCCAGAAATTATTATTGAATGATCTCCAGCTGCTTGATTATCACTGTAAGATAATATGATCATAAGGTATTTTTAGCCTTAGGTCCTCCCCTCTCCCTGTTTACGTTCAAACTTACGAAATCTTGTGATGGGAATCTCTGAGAAAGGGGTTAATGGCATTTTTAGAACCCTGTAGAATAAAAAAGAACCCTACCAGATCAAGGTAATATAAGAAGCCTCTATGAGGTGTTTTGTTGTTTTAAGGTATCTGGAGACATAGAAGTAATAACCTGGGAGGTTGGGAGGGCTAAGCTCCACCCCGCAGTCGGGTAAACAATTTTGGGGGGGTGATCATCAATTTTTTTGTTCCCTGGCTAAATGATGAAAGAAATAAAATTTTAGTGGATATAAAAGGAAAAATGTGAAACAATCTGATTAAAACACAGATTCTATTTCGTTTCGTTTTTTATAGTTCAAAATTTCGTTTTACTTGTCTTTACTACACTAGGATCTGAAAGAGTTGTTATATTACCTGCGTTCTGGTTGAAGTGAGGGATTAGCCAATGAAACGGTCTGTTACGGCGAGTTCTTGGTATGTGATGCACGGAACTGTGGGTAAACCACTAGAAACGTCAACGCTAATTGATTAATCAATTTCTGATGTCTTAAGGTCAAAAGTTGCTGGTCAGATCTTCATGTATTGTAGGCCATCGAAAGTATAGAAAAACGAAACAAAATATAAATATGTATTTTTGTGAAAATAATTAAATCCCGCAAAATAAGTGACAAACAGAAATATGTGAGTTTTACTGACGATTGAGTGGGGTAATGCAATTCCTAACCAGAGTTTCAGAAAATTACACGATTCTGATTTTGATTGAAGGTGCCTAGTTCTCCGCCAGGCGCTACTTTTTTTTAGATTTTACTACAGTTATTTTATGGTAAAGTTGGGGGGGGGGGGGAGGCGGAGGGATGGTTAGCATGTGCGCATTGTATCATAAGGACTGTCATTGAGTCAACTGGTGTGGGTTCGATTCCCCGGTTGTACAGACACTTAACCCCCCAGAAAATCAGCCCTTATGCCTATGTCTGGAGATATGGAATATTTAACTTTGTTTTAGACCCAGAGGAATTTTTGGTTGCTTTGCTTGGAGACGTGATGAAAGCAGATCCATTACTTCATCTAAGGTAAAGTTACTAATTATGGCAATGGATGTGAAATGAAAAATAATATCTTCAGTTAACATCTTTAAAATTACATTTTTATATGCCCACATTTTCATGTGGATGTATTTCATCGTCACTGTCGTACGTCCACTTGTCCATGTGTCCGTTCACATTTGTTTGTGGATACTCTACAGTTCACAGTTTATATCCAATTTTGATGAAATTTGGAATGTGTATGTTTATGTCCCAAAGAAATCGAATGGGTTCGATTTTGTACTAAAAATCACGGTTTTATCAGGTGGACCCTCCATAGGTCACAATTTTCATTTGATTTTAAAAACAGTTGAAAGATATCTGCGTCACACCAATGATCAGGAACGAGTTCAAATTTCATGAAAATCAGATTGAAACTTTCTGTAAAAATGGACCCTCCCCTTTTAGCAAATACCCCCCACCTTTCATACAAAATATGAAATATGTACAAAGTTTGTAGACCCTCTTAGAGCTCACAATTTCAATCCGATATAGATTAAACTTAAAATATATATTAATGAATATTTTTCTAATTCGATTGGAAGCAGTTAAACAATGAGAGGATGAGCCCTATTGCTTTCCCCTGTTGTTTGTCAATTTATTGAGAATTTGTTATACATATTGGTATTAAAAGAGAAATCTAACAATTTTTATTGCTGGATCTTAACAGGCAAAAATGGATCAAATTATATAGACCTCTGCATTCATCTATGTTTACATTTCTTTACATTCATTCATATTGGATTTTAAATCAAATCTCGTTAATATTTAATAATGTCTTGTCGAAACACTGTTACTTTCGACAAACTTACTTTCCAAAGCATAATACATTTTTTTGTTGACAATGCCATATTTGAGGTTGGGGATCAGATTATACAAACCAACACTGATGAAGTAGCTTAAATTATACCTTCCAATACATTAATGACATAATACCACTCAATACCACTCCTCTTTGATAACGTAACTTTCTGTATCCCGCTGAAATAGTGCTAAATAAAGAAAATACTGGCTGCATAGCTACCTCTGTTATTGACTTAATAAATAATAATAAATTTAATGTCTGAATGTTTGACAAAATGCTAATTGGCAGACCCAGATCCATTCACATGATTTGATAATACTTTTGTTGTTTACTGTTTGCAATGTCTTTGTGTTTTATACATGGGTTTCTGTTTGTAGGGTGTGGTTCTCTTGCACTATTATAATGTTCTGTTTATGAATTACATTTCACCTGCTTTAATGAATGATTGCATATTTTAAATGAATTATGCAAACCTAACAACTGCAATATTTAGTAACATAAATTTTGACAGTTGAGGTGGGGAGTTGAGACTTAAAACTGAATTACTTCAAAAAATTGAGAATCTGCCTGGGAGAATCTCTGTAATTGTAATTAACTTGCATTTCAGTTCCGGTGAACATACATATTTTTATCAATTATTTATGGAAAAAGATGACCACCTGTTATTACCCACAACACAGCGTCTAGTAGAAATATCATGTTTACAAGGAAATGTTAAATTTAAGGAGGTACGTAAAATGTCTTGGAAGGTTGAAAATCAAATAAAACATGACACAATTATATAGGGGAGCTTATGTCAACCTTACAACTGAGAGCAACTGGCATTTCGGCAACTGGCTTTAACTGAATGCAATTGAAAAAGTAGGGGTGATGATTTTCCGTTTCAGAAAATAGCAAATTCCGTTTTAAGTATTTTTAATTCCGTTATTTTCCGTTTCAGAGCTGACCATATTCCGTTTTTTCGAGATAAAATGTTATTTTATGAATAAATGAATAAAACATCTTAAAATGCCTTTTATTACAAAACGGATCATTTTAAACCAATGATAACAAATGTTGAATTGTGAATGACTTGTAATGTTCAATGACTAGTTATTCTTTAAACCTGTTTTCCGAATTAAATAACAGAAAATTACATCTTGTGAGCTCGTTTCATTTTTTTAGCAGACGAAGCCATTTTTCTCAGCTGCTAGTTGTAGTCGCGATTTATCCAGACATCTTCGTAGTTACTACCATTTCTTCGAGAATAAGGGCTGGATTCACAAGGCTACGGCATATTTGTGATGTCACGTGGTTAATGCAGATAAACACGAGTCACGAGCCTGGCAGTAAAATAAGAAGTAAATGAAACGATTTTTACTTTTATGAAGTGACAGATGTTTTTTTTAAGACATATATATACATTACAATGTTTAATTCAAGTTCAACTACAGAGTAATTGTATACAGGGATACATGAAAGACGGGTTTTCGTTTCGAGTAAAATTATGATTCCTAAATGATGAAATGAAAGAGGCTAAATACTAAAATAGACAGTAACAAAACCACGCGATATCATTCAATATTTCCGATTTTTATGAATAAAAAGATGAAATACTTGGATAACTGCAAAATTGTTTTGAGTTTGTGTTTAGTATCAGCAAATATCGGCTTTTCCGTGTGAGATTTCAAATTCCGTTTTGAGTGGACAATTCAGCGATTTCCGTGTTTTTTCCGCGATCACCCCTAAAAAAGGTCAACCTGAGCGACTCTTACAACTCAAAGCAACTAATTCCAGTCATTTGCCTATGTTTATCTTTCTGCAACTTACTTCATCTAGTGGCAATTGTTGCTGTCGACATGAGCACTTGTCAACTCGTTTCCATGGAAATAACATCATGTGATAAGAGACATGTGTCATGTGACAATAAATAAGCAAAATAGAAGTGAACGAAGACACTTGTTTCTTCTAAGGTAATCACATGATGAACGAATTAACAGTCACATATTAATTGTTAATGTAAATAGTTCTGAGTCGACATGAGTACTCTGAATTAAGTTGCTCTCAGTTGTCCTTAGTTCCTGATGTGATCGACATAAGGATGCACGCTTGCAACTAACTGAAACTAGTTACTTTTAGTTGTAAAGTCCCCCTTATAGGGTACAAGTTTTCTCATCTTCATATTTACTGTATTTCTTTGCTTTTGTTGAGCAATGTGATTTTTCATCTATTGTTTTTAATTTTTGTAACAAAATTGATTTATTTACAGGTTCCTTCATGTTTGATAATTCAGATGCCACGTTTTGGTAAAGATTATAAAATGTATAGAAGAATTATTCCTAGTTTAGAATTAGATATATCAGATATTTTAGAAAACAGTAAGTTATTCCTTTTACATATCTCAATTGTCACATTCTAGAAATAAAACTAAAGATGAAAGAAATTATTGACCCTATTTCCTGAAGCTGACAACAATAACTAGAAATGACCGATAGGTAAATCTGTTCAGTACACTCTTTTCAGGTGAGGGCACATGTTGTACAGTTGTACAAATCCATGTACTTTTTATACGCCCACATTTTCATGTGGGCTTATTATTGCCTTCGCCTCTGTCCGACACTGTACAGGTCACAATTTGTATCCGATTTTGACGAAACTTTTCTTTCAATATTGGCATGTATTGTACCATAACTTCATGGATTATTATAAAAAATCATATTTTTAGCTTGTGGACACTCTAAACATCACAATTTTTATACGATTATGATGATACTTAATATTCGTGTTTATAACCCAAAGATCTTGGTTCCTTTCGATATTCGCGCATATTGGATCGTAACTTCCTGAATTATGTCCCCCTGTTTGTACGAAAAATCATGTTTTTAGCTTGATCCGATTTTGATGAAACTTGAAATGTATGTTTATAACCCAAAGATCTTGGTTCCTTTCGATATTCACGCATATCAGAATTAAATTCCTGAATTATGGCCCCTGATTGTACAAAAAATCATGTTTTTTTAGCTTGTGGATTCTCTAGAGGTCACAATTTTTATCCGATTTAAATATTATCACCAATCCACCATAATGAATGTTGAATTCGAATTTCGGGAAAATTGAAACTAAACTGCCTGACAAAATGGTCACTCTTTGTACGCAAATTGTGTAAAAGTATGTAATACGAAGGTTGTGGACCTCTAAAGGTCACAATTTTTATTCGAGTTTGATGAAACTTAGTATCTTTACATCTCAAAGATCTCAGTCCATTTCGATATTTGTGCATTTCAGACCATAAATTTCTGGATTATGGTCCCCGATTGTACGAAGAAATGCTTTTGTTTTTAGCTTGTTCTCTATCCATCTCTTGCAAAATGTAGGCATATCTTGCCTGGCAACCGCTGGTATTTTCTCCTTGAACGCTTGCCAAACTCACCCTGTGCCTTATCTACGCATGCGCCTAATACACCGAAGAATACAGTAATTTATTAGGGAGATAGGAGAAAAATGTAAATACCTGCCAAACTCACCCTGTGCCTTATCTACGCATGCACCTAATACACCGAAGAATACAGTAATTTATTAGGGAGATAGGAGAAAAATGTAAATACCTGATGCATTGATCACAAGCAGTATAAAATATCATATGTAGTCTTCAGCCTTTCAGAATGTAGAAAAGTCCTACAATATTACTGGGTTTTTCTTGAGGTAAACACAACAGGTTGTTTAATATCAAATACTAGCTACCATGTTCCTTGCCCTATTCTACTTTATTTAATACACAATCTTGCACTAACTATAAAATAGTAAATGTGTGGTAAACCATGATATACTGATAGTTGTTGATGTAAACCAAAGGAATAGCCATTATGGTTAAGTCTTTATTTAAGGTTAAACAGAGAACACCCACATGTTGTAAGATCAGAAATGAATACATATCATGAAATTAATGTTAACAGAAGAGGTATTGGGATGTTCTTGTAAGTCAAGTTGATATAATATGGATGAGAACAAATGCTACATAGATATTATATTGTTTAATTATTTCAGGTCCAAGAGAATGTAATATTTGTGGTCGATTGGCTGAATATGAATGTAAAGATTGTTATCAAGGAGCAGGTGTACCATGTTTAAATTCTACAGCTTTTTGTACAGCTTGTAAAGAAAGGGTAGGATTTTATATTATCTTGCATTAAATTTGGTTGCATATTGTTGTCACCTGTGTCGGTCTGTCCACCATCCCTTGTGCATGACCTTTAGGGTTATTGCTCTTAATCAAACTTCATAGACTGCTTATTGATTCTTGTTTGGCATCCTTGCACATTGAATCATGTCATTATTGAAATGCGTGTTATAGTTTCGATGCCGGTTTTGTGCATGACAAGGAGTAGAGTTGTCTGCCTAACATAGTTGTTACCCCCAGGTCCTCTGGCTTCTTTCCATTGCCGGGTCCGCCAGTTTTGCAAGCGAATTATTGAAATAAAATTGAACCATGTAGTACCAAAATGACCTGGTTTGTGTCTAGTGGAGTTTAAATATCTCCCTCTCTCTCTTTCTCTCTCTCTCTCTCTCTCTCTCTCCAGTGCTAATGACCACTATGTGCAACAAGTGCAACAAATTATTGAAATAAAGATATTCCATATGTTAGTCCCAAAGTGACCTATTTTTTGATGAATGAACCCTAAACTCATTTTTCTCTTTCTGTTTCTATGTCTTTTATACTCTCCCCTCTCACAACATTATTTATTAGTACCTTAAGTGGTAATATGTTATAGTACATAGACTTATGTAAAACTGTCAAGTTATATGACTCTAGCATTGGTGTTACCATTCGCATGTTTCAAAACTACTATTCTATGACTTGATTTTGGTGATCTAGTTTTATTCCTTCTAGTTAGACAATATTCTTCAAATTTAGGGATTTGAAAGAACTTTGTACTTAGATTAATAATCCAACACCAGATTGTTCGAACAAGTACTGTTGACAAGTATGGCTGCATGGCATGCATTAAGTGCCAAAAATCATTACTTGTTAGGAAAAAAATTAAATATTTTGAAAAAATATAGGAATCATACTACAGTATAATTAGAGGTAATTACTAGTCCATGTATAGTGTATCTATCTATATGTGTTTTTAGAACAGACATATTGGAAGCCATATCTTTGTAGGTTTCTTGGAAATTAACTTTGAAAATCAGCCTACATTGCAACATAGCTAAAATCCCTGTATTTCAAATGACACCCATGCCTGTTATTCTTCATCAGGTTTTGGTGTATGCGAATGCTCCTACTACCTACATAAGAACAAATATGCGACAACCTTTGTGAACTAGTTGGCCGATTTTGCCTCAGTATGAGTTTGTGGCAACACATCTTTTTGCCTTTATTTTGTTTTTTGCGTAAATGTTACAACTACAAATTAAAATTTATATTTTCTACAGAGTCATCAGCATCAATCAAGAAGAAACCATGTCCAAACAGAAATCTCAACACCATCTTGTTACTTAGACTTTATTCTGCAAAATTCCAAAAAGAATGCAAATAATGAACCTGAATATACAGTGCCACGAGAAAAAATGGAATTATTTGCTGTAATATGTATACAAACTAGTCACTATGTTTCATTTGTCAAATGTGGTAGTGGAAAAAATGCTCAATGGGTTTTCTTCGACTCCATGGCCGACAGAATGGGTAAGATATAAAACAGTATGGTTGAACAAATAAAAATAAGAATTAAATAAAGCTCCCCATGCTGCTATGTAAATTTTTAAGTTAGATTGGTTTCTATGATTTTACACTATTTTCGTCATGTTTCTCATTATAAGCCAGTCTATTCTTCCAGACATTTTTTTTGTACTCAGAATGGCTTAATCATTATATTAATATAGTACATGAGGGGTTGGATGGCCGAATGGCTAGCGTGTGCGTGTTGTATCATAAGGTCTGTCAATGAGTCATCTGGCATGGTTTCGATTCCCCAGTTGTATGTGACAAGGAGAAGGGTCGTATGTACAATCTCATGGGTTTTCTCCAGGTCCCCCGGTTTCCTCCCACTGCTAAAGACCCCCATGCGCAAGCAAATTATTGAAATAAAATTGAACTATATGTTGGTCCCGAAATGACCTAGTTTGTGTCGAGTGGACTTAAATATAAACTCACTCTCTCTCTCTCTCTCTCTCTCTCTCTCTCTCTCTCTCTCTCTCTTTCCACAGTACATATTTTTGGCTTTTGAGATTATTTGAATGATCTGGCTTGTTGTGCCATTTTTGTTAATCTTACTAGACTTAAGATTGAAAAAGTATGAATTGTCGACTTTAGCTTGTATAAAATATATTTCTATTGTTCTTATAGGAGAACAGAGTGGATATAACATACCACAAGTTGCGCCTGTACCAGACCTCACACAGTGGTTATCAGAGGAGAAGTTTGAACAATTGGCTACCACAAACGATGATGATAAACATATACCAGAACATATTCGCCGTTTATTGGGTGATGCCTATATGTGCATGTATCAAAGTTTGGATGTTATGAGGTTTAAATAGAACTTGTATTTTAACTAGTGTTTATAATGAACTATAAATGTTTGATATTTATTATTTATGGAATTGTTATAGTGGACATCACTTAAATACAGTATGACCACATTCTATGTAACCCACATTTTACACATTATTGGTGGACCCTTGCCAGACAATAGAATCCAAAAGACTCAACATATATCTATGACAAAAAACATAGCACTTTATTTAACCTGTCATGATTTGTAAAATTAACTTAGTTATGTTTTTATTTAGATTATGTCAGTTTCACCTATGTTGAAAGAGGATCAACAGATATAGTGTTTAGAATATGGCTTATTTAGAGTATGGTTGTAATATAAATATATCTATCAGAATAGACTTGTTTGATAAGGGGACTTGCTAGTATCTGTGATATGTGATCTGTTTTTACAACTAATGATTGTTTTATTCCTTTGTAAGAATGAAGGATAAAGCACGAGACTGAGCTTATGCTGGGGAAAGTAAAACCGAAGAAAATAACCTGAGAAAAAGAAAAAACGAGGTCAGCAGGGTTTTTTCTGAAGTCTTTCTTCCCCAGCATAACTGAAGGCGAGGACTTTATCTTGCTTATAAACCGTCTATGTTTACATGTACGCAAGATGAGAATATTCCATTATCCCTGTAAGAAAAAACCTACCCTGGAAGAATATAACCCGTTATAGGTTTAAAGAAAAACTTTCAGAAGAATAACCCCAAATGTCCCTGTATATATCCAAAGCCCCCCCCCCCCCCCCAACTTTTAGACCACAAGTTATTCCGGGCATAGAATATACCCCAAAGATCAAAGAGATTTACCGTTACAGGTTTATGACATGAAAGAAAGCTTCACTAGTATCAAACCAATCTCCACCCTTATAATAGACAGATACCCTAAAATATATACATACCAAATGGTCATACTTCTCTAACATTAATGAATACTTTTATATTTTTTTATGGTGGAACACAAATTTATCCGTCATCTGGAAAGAGATTTGACACATTTCTTCACTCTTTCAGAAATGAATGAAATAAATCAGATTACTTGCATAGTTATTGCCCTTGAGGTTTTAGATCTGGTTTAGACTACTTTATTGTTTGTATTACCGGTATTAGTGATATATAGATGTCTATTGAATTTTGTTTATTTGTGGTAATTATTTGAAGAGATACAGACAGTTGATAGTTCTATGTCTAATAATATATTTTAAAAGCTTGTTGATATTAAACAGTTAATGATTTATCAGACAGTCTACTATCTTTTGCAAAGTTAACAATAGCCATTGGTGTCAGTCATAAACGGTACTGGTTTTTTATGCACACTTGTTAAAATTCTGCAGATCCCTTTTATTTGCTGTGGGTCCCACTGGAAATCGCAATCATTTAAAATGATTTGGGCTTAGTCGGGTGTTATCATGGTTAGGTGCTTTTGAAAAGTTCTTTATTCTGAAGATTTCACCAATTCAAAATTATAGCCACTGCCCACCACAGGTCTGTTTTTACTATCATTAATCTTTAAGTGGAATTTAAGGATTAAGAAACACATGTACAAAACAGAATTTTTGTAGGAAAGAATGACTGGTTTTATTACGCAAGCACAACATTTCAACAAAATCCTAATGTTGTTATCAAGCCAAAGAGGATACTTGTCGAAACATTGTTCTTGTGTGATAAAACCAGTCATTGTTTCCCATAAAAATTGTGTTATATTATCATTGCTTATCTGCATAAAATTACAGAAGCCATTTACACATGTAGGTCTATATATCTCTAAATATTTGTTTAATCAACTGCAGAAATATGATGGGTTTGGTTCTTTTGCCATAGAATGAGGAAAATATGTGAAATGTCTTGGGAACATAAATTGTCTTGAAAAGATTTTGAACAGCATTAATGTTAATTTCAAATAAATCATATTTTTGCAATAAAACAATTGGTCTTTTAAATGTCTTTAAAAAAATGTTATTGGAATTATCCAATAAAAATTTACTGTCAAAAGAACTTGTATCAATTTCATGGGATTACTTTTGATTATATGATCTTCACTCCTTTGCATTTGGTACAGTTTGTCTTAAAGATTAATGAGGTATTTTACTGCCATCACCCTGTCCCTCTGTTGTCCACATTTTCTTTTTAAATCTGACAAAATATGAAATGAAATAGGGTTTAACATCCTACTGGTTTGCTCAGTCTGGACTAATGAAGACTGGCATACGCCATACAGTGTGCTATGAGGGAAATTTTGCTTGGGCAGCGACACTATGGCCTACTCTTATATCAAATGCCAACTGCCAAGGGATCTTTTACATGCACGCCAATGTATACACGGGACCTCAGATTTTCATCCCATCTTTACGACTAGACAGCTGTCCTTGGCAGGCCTACTGTCCTGCACCACTGACGACAAGGGGAAACCATGTCAGAAAATCCCAGTGAACTTTCTTGGCCAATGCATGGATTGAATGTCTTACCTACTTAGCCACCAGGGCTCCCCATCTTTAAAACTGACCTTCATTAATATGGTTTGTGCAGGAAAGTAGGATGTTAAACCCCATTTCATTTCGTTTTCAAAATAAGTGAATGAAAAAAGGCCTTTTAGACTTCTGTGATTTCTGCTAACATCCAGAGATTTTGATGTATACCGGTACTACTTTGTAGAATGTTGTGAACACTTCAATTATAAAGATTATCATCAGATGTGATTTAAATATTTCTTTATTATTCAAATAGTAAAACAAGGTGGCCTGTTGAGTCTCAACAATTTCTGTTAAGTTGTGAAGGGGGGGGGGAATGTGGATGGCCGAATGGTTAGTGTGTGCGCGCAGAATCATAAGGTATGTCATTGAGTCAAATGCCGTGGTTTCGATTCCCCAGTTGTACATGATGAGGAGTAGGGTCGTCTGTCCAACCTCGTGGGTTTTCTTCGGGTCCTCCACAAGCGAATTATTGAAATAAAAAACTGAACGATATGTTAGTCCCAAAATGACCTAGTTTGTGTTGAGTGGACATTAAACCCCATCCTCTCTTTATCTCTCTAGAGTTGTGATCCTTGTTCATTTTGTACAATTTTGGGAATGTTCTAGTAAAAAAAGTTATTTTGCCGATCTTGAAATTAATATCCATTATTCAAATTAGTGAAAAGAAGAATTGTATAGAATCTTAATAGTTTCCAGTAATTACTTCTTTGCGTTTTTTCATAAAATCGTGTAAATGCTCTACTAGCAAAAGTTATTGTCCAATCCGCTTGAAATCAATAGCACTGTTAATATTAGTGAATTGCAGAGTTTTATTTTGTTAATTACTTTGTGGAAACTTGTGAATGCTTTAACTGTAAAAGTAATAATGTGTTATGTTCTTTGTTTTGATTATTGCGATGAATAACAATTAAAACTATTTTTGGACAAGGACCTGCTCCCCAAGTGCTAATTATCAAGTTCTTCTTGGGGTGACACTCTTCAAAATGGACTAAGGCTCCAACAATTCAAGTATGATCAAGCATGCTTGTGCCTTGGACAATTGCACATTGATTGACATTCTTCAATTTTTAATAGGACGTCACAATTGCAAAATGGCATCCATGACATCATGTATGTTTCCTGGTCCATATCGTATTTGTTAATAATCACTTGAGAGTTGTTACCTGCCCATCCATTATGTCATAGAATCTTGTCAACTGTTTGAAGATTCAAAATCTGATCAAATTTATGGACTCCTTGGACAGCAGGGGTTTTTTTGTTCCGCAACTCATCTTTACTTGTAGTATAATTATTAGTATTTTTGTCTATATGGGCTATTCTAAATTAACTCTTGTAATAAACAGATTTTTATTGTCCTACCCAATTCTGACCCAAGTTTGCACATTTAATGTACATACAAGTAATAAATCAACAATACTAAAGATTGCTTTTGTTTTGTAATCACATCTTTTTGTTTTCATGGTATTTTTTGCCAACATTTTCATGTGGATGTATATTGTCATCGCCCCTGTCCCCGTCCATCCACAATTTGTTTGTTGACACTCTACAGGTCACAATTTTTATCTGATTTTGAGGAAACTTAAAATATAGGTCTATCTCCCAAAGATTTTGGTTCCTTTCAATATTGGCATGTATCAGACCATAACTTCATGGATTATGGCCCCTGATTGTACAAAAAATCATGTTTTTGGCCCCCGCCTTTCGAAGAAAGCAGGGGACTATTAAAATGGGTTCGTCCGTCCGTCCGTCACACTTTTTGGGACACAATAACTCTCCTTCTAATTGACCTAGAATGTTTAAACTTGGTGTATGTGTTTATTAGGTCAATGCCTTGATGGAGTTCGAAGATGAGCATTTTCTGCTTAGGGTAAGCAGAGATAAGCAATTTTATTGGTTGATGCTTTGGGACACATAACTCTCCTTTTAATTGAGCTAGAATGTTCAAACGTGGTGTAGGTGTTTATGAGGTCAGTGTCTTGATAGAGTGCGAAGATGAGAATTTTCTACTTATGATAAGTAGAGATAAGCAATTTGATTGGTTGATGCTTTGAGACACGAGTCATGAAACGTGGTGTATAGTTTCATTACATCAATACCTTGACTAAGTTCGATGATGAGAATTGTCTGCTTAGGCTAAGAAGCAATACGCATTTTGATTGGTCAAGACTTTGGAACATAACAACTCTGCTTCTAATTGAGGTAGAATGTTTAAACTTGATGTAGATGTTCGTCTTGACTGAGTTCAATGATTAACATATCGAGCTAAAGCTAAGCAGAGATAAGCAATTTCCTTGGTCGATGCTTTGGGACAAGATAACTTTGATTCTATCTGATAGAGAGTGATTAAACTTAGTGTATAGTTTGATTACTTGATACTTTTGAAAAAAAAAGATGTGCGACTAATTAATATGTGTCATCTATTTATTTGGGGATTTCAGCGGGGGACATCAGACTCACTGTTGGCTTGTTTAGCTTATGGACACCCTAGAGGTCACAATTTTCATCTAATTTTGATGAAACTTGAAATGTATGTTTATAAATCAAAGATCTTGCTTCCTTTCGATTTTGCGAATATCAGATCGTAACTTCCTGAATTATGATGCCTGATTGTACGTTTTTAGCTTTTTGTCCTTCTAGAGGTAACAATTTTTATCCGATTAAAAAAAATATTTGAATATATCACCGTTAAACCCATGATGATGGCTGAGTTCGTATTTTCATGTAGACGTATATTGTTGTCGCCTCTGTTCGTCCGTCCATCCATCCATCCATCCATAATTTGTTTGTGGACACTCAACAGGTCACAATTTTTATTTGATTTTGACGATACTTAAAATATAGGTCTATCTCCCAAAGATTTTGGTTCCTTTCGATATTGGCATATATCAGCCCATAACTTCATGGATTCTGGCCCCTGATTGTACGAAAAATCATGTTTTTTTTAGCTTATGGACACTCTAGAGGTCACAATTTTCATTTAATTTTGATGAAACTTGAAATGTACATTTATAACTCAAAGATCTTGCTTCCTTTCGATATTTGCGCATATCAGATCGGAAATTCCTGAATTATTACCCCTGATTGTACGAAAAATCATGTCTTTAGCTTTTGGTCCTTCTATTATCCGATTTAAATTTTTTTTTGAATATATCACCGTTACACCCTAACGATGGCTGAGTTTAAATTTCGTGAAAATCGGACCAAAACTGCCGGACAAAATGGCTGCCCCTTGTGCGCAAATGGTGTAAATATATGGTATAACAAGGTTGTGGACCCTCTCACTGTAACCCACTTGTCATTTAATCTTGTGTATCTAGCACTAATTTCTTTCACATTCATTTAATATCAAATCTTTGTTTAACCAGCGGCTGCCAGGCAGGATACGCCCACATTTTGCAAGAGATGGATAGAGAACAAGCTAAAAACAAACAGGATTTTTTGTACAATCAGGGGCAATAATCCATAAAGTTATGGTCTGAAATGCGCAAATATCAAAAGGGACTGAGATCTTTGGGATATAAAGATATGTTTTAAGTTTCATCAGAATTGGATAAAAATTGTGATCTCAGTAGGGTCGACAACCTTCATATTGCCTAGTTTTAGACAATTTGCGTACAAAGAGTGGCCATTTTATTGGGCAGTTTCATTTTGATTTTCCCAAAATTCGAATTCAACCTTCATTATGGTGGAATGGTGAAATATTTAAACGGTTTTTAAAATCGGAAAGATAAATTGGGACCTCTAGCAAATCGATAAGCTAAAAAATGCCATTTTTCGAACAATCAGGGGCCATAATCCAGGAAGTTAAGTTCGGGTATCCGCGATTATTCACACATTTTTATACGCCCACATTTTCATGTGGACGTATTATGCCGTCGCCCCTGTCCGTCCGGACGTCTGGACGTCTGTCCGTCCACAATTGATTGTGGACTCTCTACAGGTCACAATTCTTATCCGATTTTGACGAAACTTGAAAAGATAGGTTTATCCCCAAAAGATCTCGGCTGCTTTCGATATTGGCATGTATCGGATCGAAACTTCATGGATTATGGCCCCTGATTGTACGAAAAATCACGTTTTTAGCTTGTGGACCCCATAGAGGTCACAATTTTTATCCGATCTTGTTGAAACTTTAAATGTAAATTTATAACCCAAAGATCTCGGTTCTTTTCGATATTCGCGCATATCGGAATGTAAAAATCGCGTTTTTAGCTTGTGGACCCTATAGAAGTCATATTTTTTATCCGATATAAAAAAAACGTATTATTATATCACCGTTACACCCTAAGGATGGTTGAGTTCAAATTTTTGTGAAAATCGGCCCAAAACTGACAGACAAAATGGCCACCCTTCGTTCTCAAATAGCGTAAAAATATGGTATATCAAGGTTGTGGACCCTATAGAGGTCACAATTTTTATCCAATTTTGATGAAACTTGAAATGTAAGTTTATAACCCAAAGATCTTGGTTCCTTTCGATATTCGCGCATATCGGATCGTAACTTCCTGAATTATGGCCCCTGATTGTACGAAAAATCACGTTTTTAGCTTGTGGACCCTATAGAGGTCATAATTTTTATCTGATTTTAAAAACCGTATTATTATATCACCGTTACACCCTAAGGACGGCTGAGTTCGAATTTTGTGAAAATCGGCCCAAAATTGACAGACAAAATGGCCGCCGTTCGTTCTCAAATAGCGTAGAAATATGGTATATCAAGGTTGTGGACCCAATAGAGGTCACAATTTTTATCCGATTTTGTTGAAACTTGAAATGTAAATTTATAACCGAAAGATCTCGGTTCCTTTCGATATTTGCGCATATCGGACCGTAGCTTCCTGAATTATGGCCCCCGATTGTACGAAAAATCACGTTTTTAGCTTGTGGACCCTATAGAGGTCATAATTTTTATCTGATTTTTAAAAAAAACTACTATTATATCACCGTTACACCGTAAGGACGGCTGAGTTCGAATATCGTGAAAATCGGCCCAAAACTGACAGACAAAATGGCCGCCCTTCGTTCTCAAATAGCCTAAAAATATGGTATCGTATATCAAGGTTGTGGATCCTATGGAGGTCACAATTTTTATCCGATTTTGTTGAAACTTGAAATGTAAGTTTATAACACAAAGATCTTGGTTCCTTTCGATATTTGCGCATATCGAATTGTAATTTCCTGAATTATGACCCTTGATTGTAGGAAAAATCACTTTCTTTTTAGCTTGTTCTCTATCCATCTCTCGAAAATGTGGGCGTATCCTGCCTGGCAGCCGCTGGTTTTTAAATCAGATAAAAAGTGTGACTCTAGAGGGACCTCAAGCTAAAAACGCGATTTTTCGTACAATCAGGGGCCATAATTCAGGATTTTACTATCCAATATGCGCGAATATCGAAAGGAACCAAGATCTTTTGGTTATAAACTTACATTTCAAAAGAAAGTTGTGACCTCTAGAGGGTCCAAAACCTTGATATACCATATTTTTACGCTATTTGAGAATGATGGGCGGCCATTTTGTCAGTCAGTTTTGGTTCGATTTTCTGGTACTCAACCATTCTTAGGGTGTAACGGTGATTTACTAAAACGTTTTTTTAAATTGGATAAAAATTATGACCTCTATAGGGTCCAAAACTGTCAAACAAAATGGCTGCCCCTCCTATGCAAATAGTGGAAATGTATGGTCTATCAAGGTTGTGGACCCTGTAGAAGTCACAATTTTGATCCGATTTTGATGAAACTTGAAATATATCTTTATAATCCAAAGATCTTGGTTCCTGTCGATATTCGCACATATCAGATCTTAACTTTCTGAATTATGGCCATTGATTGTATGAAAAATCGCATTTTGTTTAGTTCTCTATCCATCTCTTACAAAATGTTTGGCGTATTTTTCCTAACAGCCACTGGTTTAATTTTTGTACACCCTCTTTGAAACTGACACATGAACAATGAAGTAATAACTCTGTGCACTTCAGACTCATGGTGGGTGATGGGTGATTTTTGATTGGCAAGAGGAGAGAAGGAAGACTCCCCATCACATCTATACATAGCTAAGTAAATCCTGAGAGCAGAAGTTGATATCAGCAACCAGTATGGTCAGTTCAAAAAAAGAGAAGGAAACAAATGAAAATTCCAATCACCTCATTTCTTTTTGTAAATTATACATGGACAACCTATCCAACTGCATTATTGTTTATAGAATAGATCACCAGCTTAAAAGGCTTCATACCTGGTCGAACTGTTACTAGACCAAATTTTAAATGAGCTATATCGATAATATTTGGTACCTAGAAATTGACTCAAATGGGTCGCAACGCATATAATAATGTAATATGAATGTATATAAACTGATTTACATTCAACCGTTTCTACTAATTTCAAATTAGTTATGTTCGGCAGAATATTCGAGAAGTCTGGTTATTTATTGTGCATGTACTCCAGATAAGAATATGGCACACCCTTTGACATGACTTGCTGAATATGTGTAGCCTTGTTCTTCGAGTCCCTTGTTTCAATGGCACTGAAAGCATTCTGGTACATGATTCTATACCAATGCTAAAATGTTTATTTTGTCATAAATATTGGATATCTGAAGCCCATTTTTTCCCAGTAAGATCGCAACATCAGTATTGATTTAAATTAGCAAATAATTTGTGTTTTTAATGTCGAAGACTGGATGATTTTGAGTTAAAGACTTAATCACTGTAAACATTATATTGTCAATGCCCTTTAATACTGGCCACAACCATGCTGTAACACACATTTTTACCCATTAAGTTACTTTATAGCAAGTATTTAAAGAGAATCTTGTGATGTTCTTTTGAAGTGGGTAGAAACCAGAGTACTCTAGAACACTCGCATGGAATCACATGACTTGCATTTCATCTTACTGATAAAGGTTGCTTTAGTGAGAATTGGGTATATCATCATAATGGTTCAAACAATCATTCATTGACCAACAACAAAACTATATTTCATTAGAATATATTTAATCATAACTGAAAAATATTTTTTTATCCCAAGTAAAATATGTGAAAAATAACTACTCATTCAAATGATAATCAATTCATACCTTTGCCATCTACATGCAAGAAATCTAACTGTAATTAGTTGATGGAACTTAATGCCTTAAAATATAAGAAGCAATTAAGCTAAATGTATGATTTGTACATGTATAGAAATAAATAAACATAAGAAAAAAAAATGCCAAAATTCAGAATAACATCTGGAATGTAATCGAACAATTAAAACAATAAAATCATATATACAAATATATTGAATAATTAATTCTACATAGTTTTAAAGAATAATAGTCAAGCAAATAACAATTAGGTTGAAAATATATAATATGCGAAATAGTATAAAATAAAATATAGTTTGTTCAAAAGAAGAGATGTTCATAATATACAAATGAAAGCCATTGTTCAAAATATAAAAACAAATTTTAAGTTATTCATTTAAAGCACTATTTTGGAATGTTGTTGCAATGATGTTCTTTTATTCTCAATATAAAGCATAATTGCAGTATATCTTTAACAAATATAATGATCACATCAATTAATAACCTTTCACCTTTCTAAACTAAACTGCAGGTTATATAATTACATGCAATTATGCTTCATTGCTTTAATAAGCTAAGTTTTGACAGAGTCTTGTTTGCATACTGAAGACAATAATTAATATATATGTTTTACTATAGTAAATGTACAAAAATATTGCATAAAAAGTTAAGAATGTTAATATTACACGGAAGCACCAAGGCACAAATATCAAAATCCAGATTTGTGAGAATAACCCTAAGGAGATGTCCAACAATACTGGTTCAAAAATATTCTAACAACGATGTAAATAGATTGGAAGAGTTGATATATAAAATGCATAGTTTAAACTTGAACAATTCAAAACATGGAATATGGAAGCCGCAAGTCGTTGGAATGACAATATACATGTTGTAATATCAGATATATATATTGGAAGATACTTGACAAAATGTAGGCAGGTTTGTTTTGGGGGTTTTTATCACTGGTTTTGTTTGGAATAAACATGTAAAAAAAATATAACAAAAAAAAAATATTTTGTTCCATATTTGTCCTTATAAAATAATATACATGGTGAATAGTAATTCTGACAAATCAAATTAATGGAATATAACCTGGTTATATTTTGTAACATTTTTCCCCCTAATATAAATGTTATTGCTGGAATTTTACATCAAAAAAATAATTATATTTTAAAAATCAACTGAGCATTCCTTTTAACCAAACCATTTTGAGCATTTACTCATTTTAGTTCTCAGATAATTTCACAACCATTAACAAGTGGAATGAAGTTTAAGGCACAATTGTATAATTTGAACAATAATAACATTAGATACTTATCCAACAATAGCTATGGTATAAAAAAGAAACACAACCTACTCTATAGATATAAAGATATGAAAGCGATAGATAAGACACTTATGGACTATATAATACAAATACTTATTCAATTACAAAAACTTGAAGATAAAATATAAATTCTCTTATTCAATTACTTAACTTGATTGCACACATTAATCTAACTGTGTTAATGAATAAGATCAGAGAAATAATTAAGAACAATCTTAATTTGTAATAATTGCACACATCATTGGCAGTATATAATGTTCTTTTATCAATAAATAATATTATTATTAAGGTATTGGTAACCAGTTACAATCCATATCTATGGAACTAATTCTAATCAAGCACTCAGTTCATTATTTTATTTTATTGACAACATATATACCAGAACCTACATGTACATAACTTTTAGTCTCCTTATATATTATCTACAATTTATTTTACACCCACATGATCAACTTTTCAACTTACTATAATATATAGTAATTATAAAATATGTACATCAATAACTACAATTTTTAATGGAATAAAAAGTACAAGTAAACTCTTAAGCAGATAACATTTTAAATAAAGATAACTATATCCTGTGCTTTTCAGCTTTAAGTAAAAAATCAAATTTAAATACAACATCCAAATCATCAGGCACATGTTCAAAGTTTGTCTACTATACTAATGGTACTATAAGGCAATGATATATTTACAGTCTATAAGGCTGACAGCTTAATATTGATGTCCAATTAAATGTTGTCTCTCATGCTGGATCATATTGCTTTTCTTATTAAACTCGCGTTCACAATACTGGCAGACGTACACCTTGGTAGTTTGTTTCAAGTTGTCAGAATCTTCAGTATCAATAGTTGACATGTCTGGTTTTTCAGACTTGTCTTCTTCTGGTTGTTGAATCTTCTGGCTCTCAGATACAGTGGAATCAGGTTCACTTTCAACTTTAACAGCTTTTTTGATGATCTTTTGAGCCATTTTGTCATCGGCATCTGTATTGTTGTTGGGTTCTTTTTGGCGTCTTTCCAACATCAGTTTCAATGCATCAGTAGGTGTACCAGGAAAATGGACCTGAATGTGCTCCAAAATTTGGTTATCAGTTGTACTGCTGAAATCACAGTATGGACAAGAGACACGATTTTTAAAATTATGCCTGTTTTCATGGTCATCAAACTGTTGTTTTGAAGGGGTACTAAAAGGACACCTGTCACATTTGAACTCTTCTTCACTAGCATCACTTAAAACACTGTCATCTGTAGCTGAAGTAAAGTAGAGTTGTGGACAGGTTATTTTAGATGTACCTGGTTCAAGTAATTGGACATTAGAAGAATGGGGTGATGGTTTGGTTTCATTGTGAACCTTGACATGTTGTTGAAGTAGATTAAGCTGATCTATACTATAATCACATATACCACAGTTGTATTTGTGACCAGAAGCATGCATCTTCATATGATTATCTAGTAGTTGACGATTTTGGCTATGATATGGACATTTTGGGCATCGAAGTCTCTTCTTTGTTGGGGAGACTGAACTATCATCTCCATCATGTAGCTTTTTATGCTGACACATCAGGCTCCATTTATCTACACTGTAAGAACATTCAGAACACTTGTGACGGGCAGGGCTTTCATGCAAGGCTTTATGATTGGTAAAGCTGTTCTTGTTTGCTGTTGTAAATGGGCAATCAGTACAAGAATAAACCAAATCATCTTTCTCCATTCCGATCATATCAATTCCTCCCAAAGGCTCTCTTAATTTATTGGCCATTGGTACTCCAAGAGCAAATTCTCTGTTCATGAAAACAATTTCTTCGGGATTATTTTCGAAGCCTGGTTCATTACTGTGAACTCTTCTATGTTGATACAACAGGTTTAGTCGATCAACACTCCAGTTACAGAAATCACAGATAAATTTCTTGTTGACTCCATGCATTGATGTGTGCACACTGAAACTCTTTACAGAATTGCATTTATAGGGACAGAGTAGACAGGAATATCTCATCTCATCTCTGGTTGTATCTGTAGTGTCTTTATTCTGGTTGGAGGATGTTGAAGTTACACCATCAGTATAAGATTTGTTTAGTACATTACTTAGTGGTGGATTAGAATTAAAATATTCCTCATTAGAATGGAGATTTCTATGCTGCAATAGGTTTTGTAAGCGATCATCACTAAATGAACAGTAATCACATTTGTAGCGCTGTTCAATGAAATGTTGTTTAGCATGTTGTTGATAGTCGGAACTAGAGTCACTTAAAAATGGACATTTTTTGCATTTGTAACTGACTTGCCCATCTTTTGACTGACTTGTCATGACATCATCTTCAGCTGATTTATCCATTTCCTCATCATAATTATCTTCATCCATCCTATGGTTGCTGCTTGGACTACTGCTACTATCAAATGGGTCCAAAACCACATCTTCAAAGTTACTTTCTTTCATTTTTTTAATCATCTGATCAGCATCTCCACCATGGAACTTCATATGCTGGAAGAGTAGATAATCTCTTGTTGCACTATAGTTACAAATGGGACATCGAAATCTGCTTTTGATGATGTGCTGTTTACGATGTTTAACCATGTTATTTTTACAGAAGGTATTATATGGACATCTTGAACATTTATATCTTACTCTTCTTGATTTATTTAAACTGGTTTTGGCATGGATACTCAGTAATTTGCTGCTGGTATCTTTACCAGTTGATGGTTTTCTATTTAAGACTATTCTGTTATAAGTGCTAGTCAAGGGTACAAATGATTTGATATTTTCTTGCTTAGTAGGTTGATTGTTTTCATGTAGTTGCATGTGTTGAGTTAACATCATCACCTTATCAGTACTGTAATCACACTGTTTACAGCGATACATTCCATCATAATTATGGTAGGTAGCATGCTTCAGTAATCCATCTGGTGATGTAGCTTTAAACGGACATTTGGAACACTGTGTTTCATTTGAGGGATAAGTTTTTTTCTTTTCCTTTTGGGCTCGCAGAGCTTTCACCAAATTATTCATACTTTGGACTTTTTCCATTTTATCTTTGTTCATTTGAGAAGGAGCATGTTCTCCAGCATGGTTGGTAGTGGTAGCAGCATTACTACTGATAAATGAACACTTCTTACATTTAAAGACTCTCTTTCCATCATAAGTACATATTTGAACTGGTACACCTTTCAGCATAATTTCTTCTTTGATGAGAAGACGGCTGCCTTTCGGAGACATGTCCAAAGTGGAGTTGTCATGATTAGGTTCGACTGATTCCCGGTTGTCTCGATCGGATTTGGGGGAAACATCACCAGTCGTGGCAGTTTTTCTCCACTGATCCGTATGTGTTCCCTTCATGTGTTGATATAATAAATTAAGTCTGTCGATGCTGTAGTCACAGAACCAACATGTGTGTTTACAGTTGCTGCCATGTCTCTCAATATGACGCAGATAAGTCACTGCATTTGGAGCTGTGAATGGACACTTGGTACATTGGAAAGACTTGGCTTTCTTTTGAGGGCTAATCATCCTTCTACCCTTCATTGGATCCAAATTATTAGGTAGAATAGGTCTTTCTTTATTGACTGAGGGAACTTGTGACAATACTCGAGAAGTTATCAAACTAGGATTAATAAGATACTGATTTCCACCAAAAAGTGCATTTGAATATTGGGAGGCTGCTTGCTGTTGTTGAAGATGCTGTTGTAGTTGTTGCTGCTTAGAATCAATGTGACTAGCTCTGTTAGTGTTGGATACTAAAAAATCTCGAGCTGATTCTGCCATCTCCTGAGTGCCAAGTTCTATGGGATGAACATTCTTGCCATGGTGATATAATGTCGTTACATGAGCAAATGTAGCATCACACCATTCACAAGTGAACTTGCGGACAGCTGGAACTATTATGCCACCAGATAATCTTTGAGGTTGATTATTGACTTCTGTTTTGTTCAAAGGTCCAGCAGCTAGAGCAGACGCTAGCCTAGGTGTATCTGATGCATTGGATCCTTCTGGTTTCTTAATTTGTTGCAATGACTCCATTTGTTCATTATTATTCTCTTCTAATTCCTCTTCCATGAAGAATGTCTCCCATTCATCTGGGTTGAAGTCGGAATGATTACTGATGTGATCTAACAGGGAGTCCTTATCCTTAAAACTGGCATCACAATAGACACATTTCAACATGGATTCTTGATCATCATGCTCCAGTTCATGAGATTCTAATAGGTCTCTTCTCTTGCAGACAAAATCACATTTGATGCAATGGAATGTCTTCACTTGTTTACGTGGATGTTTGATTCTAGCTTCATCCATATCTGTTTTAGGGGACTCAGAAGTATGAGAAGCAGCTGGTGAGTTTTGTGATTGAGCAGGAGATGATTGTCTAGAGATGACAATATCTGTGTGTGTTACACGATGCTGCACAAAGGATGCAAGATCATTTACCTGGAATGAGCACTGTTTACATTTAAATCGACATGGTGTAGGCGATTTGGATTCATCATGCACTTCCAGATGAGCTTTAAACAAATTGGGTTGGTCTGTTGAGAAGTAGCACTTCTGACAACGGAATGAATTTTCAGAATCTTCTGTATCACTGTTTTGATTATGATCTGATGCCTGAGATTCCAACATCTGAGCTGCACTGGTGTAATGATTGTAAGTCTTTCTGTGCTTCTTCAAATCACACTTCCATCTTGAACTATAGTCACATATATCACACATAAAAGGTTTGTTTTCAGAATGTAGAACAGCATGCCTCTTTAATTCTGCTGGACTTGTTCCAACAAACTGGCATTCCAGACAATAATAAAGTCCATCATTGATCAAACTTCGGAAGACTGGTTTCTTTCCCCCACTACTAGATGTTCTAGGCTGTTTTTCCATGTCCTGTTTCTCCATTGTCATTCTCGCAATAGATGCCAATGCTGACCCTCCAAGTAAATTATCACTGTTTTCAGATATTCGTTGATAATTGGTAGTGTAGTTGTTGGGTTGGGGCGTTTGTTGTTGTAGACGACCTTCAGGCATAACAGTCACATTAGGTGGAGCATTTCTTCTGACCTTAGTTGTATCAATAACATCTTTAATGGTTCCACCACCACCACACCTCTTTAAGTGCTTCACAACATCCCATTTCCATTTGCTTCTGTAACTACATCTTGGGCAGAGATAGGGTTTGTCTTCAGAGTGATTTTTCATATGTTGTGTTATTTCTGATGGCCATCTGGCTCTGTATTCACATCTTTGGCACTTATATGGCAAGAGAACTGAAGAGTCATCTGTTAGTTGTGTAATCTGTTGTTCTTTTTGACCACCATTGTTCAGTCGATTGAGCACTGCAGCATGAATAGCTTTTTGTGTGGTTTCATTAATTGGTCGTTTTCCAAGAAGAGCTTCCCTTTCTTGTAAGGAATGTATATTTGATATCTGTAATCTATGAATAGAATCCTCATCTTCCATCTCCATATCAGATAATCTAGGTAGTGAAGATGGTCTGTTACTAGCTAGACCCAAGTTTCTTCCTATGCTAGCTAATCCATTCACATCTATATTTAGATCAGTCAGATGTGAAAGGCTATTGCGATTTTCATCTTCGTCCATTCTTTCAAAGGCATCCATTCCAGAGTCAGATAGACGTCTTTTCTTTGATGGTGGATCTTCAAGACTAGACTTAAACAACAATGCTTCATCATCCATTGACATGTTACTTTTTGTCATACTGTAAGGTGAGGATCCATTTTTTGCGCTCATTTCTCTTCTTTTATAAGGATTAGGTAATGTATGATGACTCTTCTCAAAATGTTTGACTAAGTCCCATTTCCATTTATAAGTTGATCCACAAACCATACACATAAAAGGTCGTTCTTCAGAATGAGAAACAGCATGCTTTTGAAGTTCTGCAGGCCATTTAGCCACAAAGCTGCACATGTTGCATTTGAGTTTTTTATTGTCTGCTGTGGTGAGATCTTGGGATGATAATGAAGTTATAGCATTCAATGGCATTTTCAACAAATGGTATGTCTGCTGTAAGCCATGAGGAATGCGCTGAATGGCTTCCTTATGTTCCTGAATTCTATTGGCATGAACATCAGCAAAATGCAAGTTAAGATCATCAACACCATTAAAATGTTCCTGGCATTCTGCACATTTAAAAGCTCTCTTATTTAGATGGAGTGTCATATGTGAACTGTAATCAACCAACGTTTTGGCTATGAAAGAGCATTTGGTGCATTGTAAAATGGATTTATCTTTATCATCTGCATTAGGATCTTCACTTTCCCATCTTGGTTCAGATTTGATATAAGAAGACTGCATTATTTCTTCGTCGTCTTTTCTTACAGAAAAATCCAGTGGCTCATGTTGTCCTTGCAAGCGAAAGTTGCTGTATTTAGGTTTAAGCAATTGTTGTCTTCTCTCTGCATTGGGAGTGCTTGTCTCGGGAAAGACTGGCTGAACGCTATGAGTAACAAATGGTCCAATGAAGCTAGGAATGACAGTTGAAACAGGGGATGTTGAAGTAGTTGATCTTTCACTCAAAGAGTTCATCATATCAGCAACAGATGTTAAAGGTGTTCCGGGAGCAGAAGAGTGGGGTGTTTCACTCATGCTTCCATTCTGGCTTCTATTTAAGACTGAGTTAGCAAGGATCTTCCTTCTTCCACAAATTGTATGTCCACCAGAGTTCACCAGATAGACCAAGCCTGGGGGTTTCCTACTGTTGTCTGGCATTTCACCACCATGCTTTTCTTTCCAATGTTTATTTAGAGATTTTCGCCATTTGTAAACATTGCCACAGCTTGAGCAGGCATATTTACAACCAGTGTCATCTACAACCTCGAAATATTTTGCTGGATCTACTTCTTGTCTCTTTTTTGTTTTTTTGACTTCAGGGATAACATCATCAGGATCCGTTGGAGTTACAACAACAGTATTACTGTCAATAAGCGGAGGTAAATCTTTAAAGCTATCTTCTGGTAGCTCATCTTCTTCCGGCAAGTTGTCGAAAGTATCATCATTTGAAAAACCATTAAATTCATCCATTTCGCCAGCAAGACCTTCACCAATTAGTAACCCTTGACCAGAGAAGTGAAGTTTTCGATGTCTTGGTAATTTCTGTTTATACTTCGTGGCGTAATCACAAATGTCACATTCATAAATAATGATATCAAAGTTATGTGCGTCTTTCTGGTGATTTAGAAATACTTTAGCACTAGTAGACGAAAAATCACAGCCACTACAAACGTATGTTCTGTTTTGTATATTACCACAACGAGTGGGTGTAACTACTGCAGATTCTGAATTACTACCCTCTTCTTGTTGATCAGCAATAATTAATCTTCCATCTTCATCTGCTTCTTCATCATCTGTGACCATACTATTAATAATAATTGTATCTCCATTTGTCTTTTCAACGATTTCTTCAGGAGTTTCTTCCACAAGACTTTGGGAATTTCTTGTGCGAATAGGAGTTAGTTTTGGAAGACCTTTATTTGGTGATGCAAAACTTTGATCATTTTCTTCTTCATGTTCCATCATCTGATGGTGAAAAAATTCTTTTGCATCTGTACACGAAAATTTGCAGTGTTTACACCTTCGTATTCTTCCACGCCCTTTAATTTGACTTTCAGAAGAGGAATCTAGTTGAACATCACTGCTCCCCTTTGGTGAATTACCAGACATACCAGGCTTTTACTTGCTCCCCAAACCTGAAAAATACAAAAAATAAAGTTCATAAATTTCAGAATTAAAAAGCTAATAAACTTGTGAAAGTTTGAGTTTTGATATTGTCAGTGTATGACACTTATGTTTGTCTAACTGCTTATGGAACAAATTATAAACTACTTTGTAAAATACTATCACTCAACACTAGTGAAACTATTTCTAGATATTTACTTCATAACATCAATGATACTATCAAAGTTCAGCCTAAAGCTTATCACTGATAAGCAATATCCCTTTCTGTGTCACCAGACTTTGTTTTCAATGACTAGAAGCCAGAGTAGAAACAAAACCTCAATTGTACAAAATATACTTTCTATTGTCTAACTGGTAACAGCCTTAGGCATACCTGTGAACTAAGGTATCATCCTGTGCCACTATTGTTAAGATCTATTTAGTAGCATAGCAACTAAGCATTACACACCTGATGTTAACATATTTCTATGGTATGATTTCAGCAAACATTATGATATATTTGCACTATGCGTACACTGCCATTAAAAAGAATATTATTGTTAAAGTATTAAGAATGTAACCATTTTCTTTCAAAAACTAAAAATATTTATTATGTCATATGTAAATCTTTCTATAAATTTTAAGTTTAACATTTCAACTACGGTCCCATTACTGTAAGTACCATACTTATACATCAAGTATGACAGTCATCAATCACATTGCTGTATCTTCAATATCTTTTACACCCATAATTATACATTTATTCCCCGATTGAATAATTCACTGGTTCAAATTTTACTGCAAGTAAATGTGATGAATCATTGTTGGCACAACACACAAAACTGAGTTTTTAGAAATGATTATTTATTCCTAAGAAGGAAAATTATTATCATGAAAATATATAATGTGCATTTTACCTGCATAAAAACATATCACTATAGCGAGTCAGCATTCTAATTCTAAAAGATAGATCTGACGCTAGATAATCATTTGGGGGGAGAGTGACAAATCCTAAAATAGACTTATTCACTACTCTACAATGGCTGACTGAGAACCAGTTCGAATAGAGCAAGAATTAAGTAGTGAATGATGACCTGGTAGCAACTATTACTTAATACTAGAGAGTGTCTGGAGGTCATTCTTACTCTACCTGACAGGTATTATGGCTTGCAGGTCTTTGTGTAGTTTCTATATGAGACACATAATACTCTAGGGGTTATAGCTTAGCTTCAATTTTTACTTTTACTCAAACAATTGAAGATTGTAGTTAATAACACCTCTCAACTTGCGGACATTTTATAATCCAAGAATAAAAGACAAATACCTTCCTTCTTTAGCATTTCATAGCTTAATATTTTCATGTGTCATCACTCATCATTTGGTCATGATAATATTTTGCAAAGTTTCTATGTATAGATATTATATATATCCAAAAGGGTTTTCTTGAATTTGCTATAAAAGCATCTATGGAAAATTCCAAGTAAAGTTATCTATTCAATAAATATGAAGAAATGTAAGTCATGACGTATATAAAAATCAGCTTCAAACATCCTGGGTCACAGATAATAAATCTTCTACTTGATGACCCGTGGCAAAAGGATGATGATTAAATACAACCACAAACAGTTTCTATAGGGAAGTGAGATGAGACAATAACAGCAAAGCTTTTCTTATAAATCTTTCTTTGGACCACAAAACCTATTCTAAGTGACTAAGTCTTAATTCTTATCATGTTTCCTCAACTAACTTATAAAGAGTTTCCCTTTGAAAGAGCCTAACAAATCTCAAAATATTACCTAGCAGTACACATAATATAAGTAATAATAGCAGACCTCTTTAATTGGAACAAACTTTTATGTTTTTAGTAAAAATACACTTAAATTACTCAGTCAAGTAGGAATTCTTTTAAACTAGAAGTTAAATGTGCCACACAATAAATGTAACGATGAAAGACCCCATAAAAAATAATTTTAGTTGTGCATTTAATTTCAACATCTTGCTCCTTTGAAATCAAGGTGGTTACGGAGTACCAGGTACCACAAAATATTTTAATTAGGCATACCAGTTACTCAGCCAAATAGAACAGGATTCCATAAACTTAGTCAGTAGTGACGTAAACAGGTAGGATAGTTTTAGGCACATCAATGACTAATTACTGCATACATGGTACAGGTTCAAATGGGCAAAGAGAATTAAAAGATGTCTAGGTTTGAGTGATGATGTTATCTACAGATCAATCAGCTATTTATATAATCTATAGGAAAACTTTTATATATCCTTGATTCTTCCTGATTAAACATCGCAATGTACTATTAAACTATAAATTCTCATATTAGATCTACATTTATATTTAAACTCAACAAGTATCAAATCAGCAGAAATAAATATTCTTTTGTAAGGCATAGTTCATTCTTTTCAGTAGGAACTATATTTCTATTGCTGGAACTTGTTTCTGACAAATTGATTTTTCTAAATTGAATAGATAAGAGAAAACAGTTTATTATCTAAATTGTATGTAAGCATCAAACCTTTGTATTCCACTTGACATATCAGTAGCTGAATAATCAGTAGTTTCCATGACCTCTAGCACTTGAAGGTTAGAGTTCAACTTTGCAGTTCAAAGAACGCTGAACAATAAGTGAGATAAGTTGCTTTAATGCCTGATAACCTGAAGCAACTATAAGTCAGGTTTTGACACAACATGTTCTCTGTCTTTACCTTCCCAACCATCCTATACAATATGTGTACTTAATTCTTTTTCATCATCTCTCATATTTTATTACTATTAATTCATCTATAAACTAAGCTAACAAAAGCTCAAGTTTTTATCATAAAAAAAAAATAATGCATTATTGTTTTTCTTGTAGACATTTGAAAACATACTTAGTGTTAGACAAAGAGCTATTCTTAATTTAATAAGAGGACAATAGTAATTCATGTTGTTTTGTTCATCCTTAATTATGCTTTAATTAATTTTAAGGTTGATTTTTCTATATTTATGATTTGCAACTTACATGTTTTCTGCAAAAGAAAAAATAAATCTTTGTCAGTTAACATATTAAAGCAGTTAAGTCTAAAAATGATAAGATATAAAATGTTGAAGATAAAATAAACTTAGATGGAAACTGATTTACATGTAACACAGTATGTGAATATTATCAGGTAGATATCTTTCCCCAAAAAGAGAATCCAAGCCTTGCACAAAATGGACTTTGATAAATGAATGACTCCACATGTACATGTATACGGCTTCTCCATTTCAGAGATATGCCTCAAGGGCAAATCTCTGTCGCCATTGGTCTACCTGGAATCTCAAGCAAACCTTTAACAGTCAGGTAAACATTCCTCAAATGATGAGCCATTTTAGCAACTACAAATATGTTTATATCATAGCAAAGAAGATTAAAGAGTTATTTCTGTCATTTACAACTGTATTTAAAAAGTTAATGTCCAAGATCACTCAACCACACTAATGACTTTTTATTGAACATTTATCTAGAAATATTTATATTTTTGTACAAGTTGTATTTCTCACGAACATACATTAAAATACTTATTCATGAGACAGACCAGTTCTATCAATAAATTGTGAGTTAGAGTACTGACAGGATAACAAGTTTATAAAACCAGTGATAACCTAGTTCCAAATTAATGTAATTCAGAATCAAAGTATGCAAATGCTATTGTTGAACCACCATTTGGTGCCAAAAATAATTAACCATAATTGCCATAAATTTTGTATTCAGCACCAGAAATGTTATTCATAAAATGTCACAGAAATGCCATATTCTGATGTTGAATTGCGACAACCCAGCTGTTGCCAGAATAACAGGGTGACAAAATTCCACTGGCAGGATAAATATATATTGGTTTATTTGTGCCTGTGGAGTTAGATTGACTTTTATTGATTCAAACTGTGTAGAATTATATCTGAGAGTACATGTACGTAACAGCTTGAATCTGAAAATGTCTTTATTCACAAACATATTGGCATATTGTGCCATTAGAAGATAAATCATTTTTTACTCTTTTATAGTACCTTATGCTTCAAATTATAATTCAATATCGATTTTTTGGAAACTCTTCATTTCAATCCGACATATACTAGCTTACATGCCTGATATCAATAACAGCTTTCATTCAAAAACAAGACATACTACATAAAAAAAACTAATTCTAAAAAAATTATAACACGAACATCAACATGTTGGCATGATAAAAGACATCAAAATGCTATTTTAAGCCAGTATTAATAATAACTTCTGTTACATATTAATAATGTTCATACTTGTACATGAAGCAATAATCTTTAAAAATCTTACTGCAATTGGTTGTCTACAAAAAAAAAGTATCAAAATGACTCATTGATAATATACCAATATATATAAATCAATGTCTATAACACAAATTAAATAGAAACTCAATAACCTGATTCTAATAAAAACAGGAATCTAACTCTCTTACTCTATATCCTGAATATTTATCACCATGCTCATAAATTACAATTTATATAAAATATGTCATAAAACCCAGTCACAAAGATGAAAAGAGTGTGGAGACTAAAGAGATGAAATACAAATTAATCATATTCCATTTATTTATCACAGAAGAGAAATATTATAAAGTCACTTATTAAGTAGCTTGTGGTTATCATGAAAAGAACTATACGCTCAAACTAGCAGACCCCAAGTTCAAGCTCATTTTATCTTCAATTCAATAGAATTCAATGGAGTATTACCAGCTAACTTTTGCATGAGTATTTCTGTAGGGACATATTTTCTGTAATTTTGTCTTGTGAGCATGAGAACTGAGAACCAAGTCATAAAATCAACCAGCAAACAACAAAAGAAAAACTCGTCACAGGTGAACAATTAATTGCCTGTGGGAAGTTTTTTGACTGCAAATTAGGCACCTGTACAATGTGGGGAAATCGCTATCGTAAATGAATAACTTTATGTGGTGTGTGGAAGATCAATCCTAGTTCTATAAATCTATTCAAATTATTCTATTGAATTGACTATCTAATATTTAAACATATTTCAAAATCAAATGGTGTTACTATTTCTTTTCTATTAACCATGTGTAAAGAACTGTACACTTTCCTAAAATACATAAAATACATAATACTAACCATTTTATCTTCTAAATAGGTTTTTCTAACAGTGAATTTTCATTGCATTACAAATGAAGCTAAGTTATTTTGTGCTGGGTTAAACAAAAGACTTTTAAGTTCAACAGGGTAGTTTAAGAGCCAAGCCTCTGATCTGATAACATGTCTTCGCTTCACAGAGCACTAGTCCAAATGCTATGTCATGCACAACTAGTCAGGTGCCTACGTGGGAACTAACTTTTAAGTGTCTCATGAATAATCTCTGACTCTTTGACATCAGAATCAAACAAATACCTTAGACATAGTCTCATCTGTTCTGCTTTATTACACATGCCTGGGTATCAGGTGAAAGGTAAAAAAAAAAAAATACCAAAGCTTAGTGACAAAAACTGACAAGCATTCATCTTCCCTTAACACTGGTCTCTTTTTATTAACTCTTGTAGTAAACAATTATACTCCATTTTAACTTGCCTTTTATCAATATATCATTTAGATGAAGAGCAATACGTTAAACAATTGTTCAAATTAAACATATTGTCCTTATCATCCAGAAAAAAAAAATCTATTATCAAGGATTTGTTAATGATAACTGACATTTCTCTTGAACATTGGACAATATTTGGCAATATAACTTATCATGAAAACTATGTACATGATTACAAAGTCAACAGTCTATCTGCCAGGATGTCTATTCACTAAAATCAAGGGACCATTTTCCTGCTCACAACCAGTCTTAAGTAGTGTGCAAACAAAACAGGTACTACACAGCACAAGTGGGCGGGCCTATTTCCAAATTTCATCGCCACGCTAGAGAAACAGTCGTCAATTGAATAGTTTCAGGTGACATGAAAAGAAGGGCTTTACCTGTGTAAAAATGTTGAGGTGCAGTGGAATATTCCATTCCAAGCCTAGGGTTACAAGGACATAAACCTATTTTTTCTTTAATTAGTCACAAAGTGTGGGAATAATTCATGTGTGTGTTTTGAAGTCTTTAGAAAACCAAATTATACGATGGGAAAAAATAGAACACATGATCTTTTAAGTATTATCCTTGAAATTTAAAACTGGGTAAAAATATATTTGCTGGAGACTTTTTATTTTGTTTATTAACATGAAGCAAAACAAGATGTAATCTATTCTCCTAGGGAGTTTTAACTTGTGTCATTCTAACCAGTCCTCAAAAAGCTATAAATCTACTGTATATAGGAAATGTAGACAGGTATCTGATGTATAAAGTACCTTGAGATATCACAGGTGAAGTTCAAAGCAAACAAAGCTTTATGCCAAACAGGTACAGACATGGCCTGGTTCTCACCGAATAGTCTTTTGTCTGCCTCATGTTTAGTGAGCTATTTTACATACTGCCATCTTTGATTATACATATAGAAGCTAACCATATTGACTGAACCTATATTGCAAGTTTTAGCAGGACATCAATAATGAGAAGCTAGACAATCCTTTTTACTTTGTCTTACGTTATATAATGTACTATTACCTACATTTTAAAACTCATAACAACCAAGTGAAGTTTATTAAAAGGTGATAACTTATCATGGACCATCCACTATTAAACAATATATCCAAAACAATTTAATGAAAACATTTTAGAAGATTTTAAACAAGTGTGAAAATTGATTTGATATATTTGTCCTAAGCTACATAATCATGTCCTGAGGGAGTGTCATAAAATACATCACACCTTTCTTTTAATAAAGACCAATCCAAGATCATTAATATTATAAAATTATCTTCTATTATTATTAGGTTGCATCTCAGTTTTTCATCTATTTTGTCTACAAGCCCCAGGTAATAGGTTATTACATAATTCTGGTAATTAAACAAAGTTACTGGTCCAACGCTTTCTCTCATCTTCAGGTTTGAAGGGGTGACCTATGGGCTAATCAAGGGACTCTCTAATTTTATGACCTAGCCATTAAACTCTAGTGTTCTAAATCTAATAGGTGGATGTGTCATTCTAAATAGATGCCAGTCATGCTTGACTGATAAGACATTTCACAGAGACATGCCCATTTCTGACTATTTATTAAGCCTTTAGCATGCAACCAATAAAATTCATACATTTAATGATCTTTAGTTAATAACAGAAAAATTAGTATATCAACTTGTCAACAAATCCACTTCCACTGAGTCATAGAAAAATATAATAACTTAAAACGTTTTGTTTATATTTTAAATCATTTACTGTTTTTTTGTGTGTTTTTTAAATTTACAGTCTGAAATTCATTAAATTCAGTAATAAGAAAATTTTCAATGAACAAGATATTAGTAATCCGACAACCAGTTTTATATTCATATTCCAGATAACCCCAAAAACAAATCAATTTTACAAGTGAGCATTGAATACTAAAATTAACAATAAATGTAAATTTGTAATTACGGTCTAAAAATATAGAGAATATGGTTCTGTTTTCGATGTTGAAATGATCACTAGGTAGACATAAATTGAAACGGGTCAAATTTCTGGACTGAGAGTTCATTACAAAACAATTAAGATCCATTCATGTGCCAGTGAATCAACTTTTTATCTTTTTCTATTGTTGAAATGTTAATAGTCAAAAGAGAACAAATAAAGCTCACATTGAATCTCATTTACACTAACTACCTTAATACAGAACAAGTAAACATGTTTAAAATAGCAGACGACACAAGTGATGTTTTAGTCTATGTACTTCTAAGCTTACTTTTCCCCATAATATTGTAAAAGTTATTCTAGAATACAAGTAAAACCAGAATATAACACACTAATAACAAACTTTTAGAAACTTTATAACACAGAAATACTTCTATCTCTAATTCAATATACACCATGTTAATTTACTATTCCTACATATGAGATAAATATAGAGAGCACTTACCATTATGTAGGCTGACATGTAGCGGGTTATCAATCTATCAATAGGCAAGCAGTGTCACCTAAGCTGGCTAGTGACTGTATGATACCTGGTGCGTGTCAGGTAACACAGCCACTAGAATTCCTCTTATCCTGGTACCTAGTTCAGCTTATATCAGCCAATCAGTGAACACCACTCAATGCCTCTTAAATATGTTGGGACAAAATAAGACACTATTCTTTAAGGCGTACCACCTTGTGCTAGAGTTCCTTCTCAGTCAATACCTGTTGAATACAGCTATTAATAGATTTCAGGCAACTAGTCAATACCAAGTCCAAGTTTAAAGACATTAAAAGCAGGGGGACAAAGGAAACCCGTCTTCCCACAGCCCTCAAATCTGGGTGTTATTGGCAGTAGCAGGCAAACTGATTCAGTCATGTATTCAGTGTGAAGCTATCTTGGTGTGACAAGTTAACTGTACATGATAACATTTTGAAGCTATTATATTGGCTTAATAAAAGGCTGATACAATTAGAATACTCATTGAGACCAGAGCTTTCCACTTCCATTCTATTTAATAGAGATCTATTTTATCTTCTTATTTAATAGAGATCTATTTTATCTTCTACGGGATTATGTTTAGAATTTTTGTGATAATATATTTAAAAGATAACTTTAGAATAGCTAAGTAAATAAATCTCAATGGAAAATTTAATTTAACAAAATTGTACATGTGTAGAGTATCAATGTGCGATATGAGCTGAAATTTTTGTACTAAAATTATGAAATTTTTATTTTTCCGCTAGCTAATATTAGTAAAGTATCTGTATTAGATACATATCTTTACCTTGTAAGGCAAAAATTATGCCATGCCAAATATTTATACAAAACAATCTTGGAATAAAGTAAAAAGTGTTATATTCAACCATGGTCGAATATGTTATTTGATCACAGTACATGTATGTATAATTAATGGTTGAGTAGTGACTGGAATAATAACAATGATACTTTCATTGACAGGCGTGTCTTTAATAGTAAGAATTAGACTTTAAAAGAGAAAGATAAATGTAATTCATGCAAAAGGATTTTATTTCTACATCTTGTCCATTACTTCAAGTTCAACCCATAATGTGATATGGCCACTGGCTATACACTTAGGTTTTATTGAATGTTTGGCCTAAATACAGTGAAGGTAGAAAGAATTATATTCTGATCAATGTATACAGGCACCAAGGTAAATCCTGACAACTCATGCTGATAGGCTGTCACAAAACATTCAATCCTATTGTACTTTGAGCCTGTTGGACCACTTAACTGAGAGAGGAAATGGCCCTAGATATCAACATGTCTACACAGCATGGAAACTACTAACCAAGGATTAGGCACATTCAACCACCTTTTTATGCTTCCCTCTACATATTTAATCTAAGCACAATGTTGTTGTTTTTTTTTACATTGGTTGGACTGGATTTCCTTCTCAAATAAAAACACTTGTTGTATGTCTTTTTTCTCAACATTAATATCCAGTTTCTACGGTTAGTCGTAAATTAAAAATTCTTCTGTAAATATAGCTTTTTAATTTTATTTCTCTTGAAAAAAAAACATTTTGGGAAATCATTTAAAAATGAATCGAGTTGCCTCATCAGGAGCATCATTCTAGTAATATCCACATGTTTTCTCAAAACTTCCAGCGTTTAATATTGGAAAATGTAATCAAATTTGCCAACATGTGCTACAGATGAGGGTATTGATTTGCAAATTAAACAGTATTTTACCAACTCCAGATTCTACTGTCTCATTATAGTCAGGATTCTAACTGTATCACAACAAACTGAAGACAACAGGTGGTTTCCCCAAGACAAAAACTGTATAAACAGTTTCATCAGAACTACAAATATCCTATACAGTAATTGCGGATTGTATTCAGCCAACAGCTTTTCACATAATAACCAGATTTTTACTCAAAACTAAAAAGGATTAAATACACCCTACTGTTGTGATTTATTGTAACTTAAAAGGTAATCACTGATAAAATCCTAAACGGTTACCTAAAGACATGACTTTACAAAATGTAAAAATACAGTTTTTAAAAATGACATAACCTCAAGCTTTTTTTAAAAAAGATTACATAAATTAGTTAATATCTGATACATATAAGCTTATAAAAGAAAGGATTATTTGTAAATTATATCACATTATATCAAAAAGTATCTTAAGCCTTCTTCAAAAAAATATTAACTTTTGCATTATTCATTTGCACTTCATTTCAACAAATAACAATTTGTCAAGTCACCATCTTTACTAATAAAAGTTTATGTTCTGTGTACTGTATAACCAAACTAGTTTTAGAGTCTGTTGGTATACCTGCTATATTCAGCGTTACACTCCAGTGATTACCATTATGAACCATGTTTTCTGATGCATTTGGCCTAAAGGTTTGTCTCATTTCTCGAAGATCTTGTAACAAAAAAACGTCACTGATCTAACTGATGAAAAATTTCAAATTATATAAAATGAATTTTGTTTTTGTTGAGGGAATTATTAATCTTCATACATCTATTAGGTAAATTTTATACAAACTTAATTTACAGGCATTTTCTTCTGTGAAGATAATTATTCTGAGAGCATGAAAACCTGTTCTTTAAGCTAAAACTGACTCGTCTGACTAAACAGGACAAGAAAAAAAAGTTGTAGTAGAGCAAAAATATATTGAATCTACAAAGGTTAATATATTCATGGGGGACAGAGTTTCTCTTGTTAACCAATGCACAGAAAAATATAGACAATGTGAGGTGAGAGAAATTTTGACCTGAATTCCTTCTGAAGAAATCTGACATTAGAAGGGACAACCAGGAAAAGGTCAACAATGCAAAAAGCTTTCACAGCATCCCATTTCCTTGACATTTTAAACCATTTACCTGTAAAGAATATATCCCAAATTCTTCCCATTTTTTTCCTTGTTTCATAACATTAAAACATTCTGGTGTAAAAGTTTGTAAATTAGTTTTACTTTCATATTAAATTTGATATCTTATTCATGATAAAAACTTGTATTCTGATCTTCCAAATTTTAAAAGTTTACAATTATTGTATACATTTGCTTTTTTGCATCTAACCCCAGATCATCTTTGTATTTTATTTATGCCATAACTATGCTGAACATATACTGTATTGAAGATTATAATTATAAAGTTACAAAAAAAGCAACATAAAACTGATTATCTTTTGATTTATACAGAAGAGATGGATACAATAAATACTTGACTTTTATTTCCTAGGGGTTAACAGTATACCCATTACACCAACTTTAATAATTCAGTAAAATATATCTTACTGTATAGACATTAATGATCAAATGCAATATATTTTCTTGGTAATACTTGCACATGTATAAAATAGTCCATCAAAATAATGCGGGATTTATTTGAAGATTACTGACCTGAAATCCATTATAAAATGATCCTTGATTTTTACTAAGCATAAATAAAAGAAGGCCCATCAGAGTATGAAACAAATACGTATATACTGCATATGGGTACATAATGCCTTCAAGCATAAAAACTTCCTAGGTAAATACCTTAAACATTATATGAAATAAGATCTAATCCGAATGAACTGTAAGTGTCAATCTCTATTAAATATCTATTAACTATTAACATATTTGATACTGAAATCCTGTTTGGTAAAATGGTACAGGATATTTGAAAATTAAATCACCAAGAAGTTACAATACAATATTTGACGATACATTATCATACTCTACATGTAGTACTGCATAAATTCTAGTAAATAGAGTACTTGAATTGTGATCTAAATGACACTAGCCCATGAAGTTGTACTATTTATCAATCTATTAAAGAATCCAATTGAATTTTTATGACAAAGTCAACTTAAACCTACCATAACTGGAATCTGTTGCTTGAACTGTGCTAAACAAACCAGCTACAAAATGATGTTCGAGTGGAGTGAGCCATCAGCAGAACAGGAATTCAAGTCAAGGGGTATTATAATTAATCAATGTGAAGCAGGAAGGTGGGACATGAACACACAGTGAACACACACTACACTAGAGCCAACTCAGAAAAGCCATATTTCCTGCTAGTATCAAAGAACTCAAGTTGTCTTATCTACTATCAACAGCAGAAATACACTTCCTTATTAAGTCTTCTACAAATTAACATATGTCTTTGTAAATCTCCACAATCATAATTCATTACATTAAATGACAGCCATTTTAATTTTTCTTATCATCCAATTATAAGAAAAATCTTTCCTCATATTGCATTTTTGGATACTGATATGTAATACGAGACAATAAAGAACTTTTTTTTCTTTATTTCCAGTTCACTTTTTTTTTAAAAACTAAAAGAACATCATAAGCATCTCACTTAATCTTCAATGTAGAGTGTTTACAAGGTTTCTGTGCTAGGGGTAACAATTCCATAAAAATCAAAGATGTGTCTATTTCAGTGTGATTATATATAAATTTGCAAAAATTGTTTTATAATTTCTAGTAGCTTACTCTTTCAAATATATGTTCAGCCTGTGCATATCTATATTACATCATAGGTTTCTCCAATTTTTAACACAGTAATTTTCATTTGAACAGGGTATGCATACTTGGGAAACCAGGCTAGTAAAAACTAGTTTGAAAGTGACAGAGCTTATGTGAACATAAAGAAAAAGAGATAGCCGAGTTCAACATGAAAATTAAGGAAGTATTTTTGTCTATAACTGTAGAATAAATATGTTACAAACCTCTTACAAAGGTTTGTAACACTACCAAGCAAAGTGTGGCGAGAACATATTGGGGGAGATTTTTCATGCTGAAATTTTGATATTGCCAATTCATGTTTTGCACCCACTGTGTTAAGCTGTTAATATAATTATTCTGGACAAGATGTATTTATTTGTATCTGTTGAATTCATAAACATTTGATGCTGCAGATAATATTATTGTAAATTTCAGCAGTTGTTATTCCTGAGCAAAGCTAGGCAACAGTTATAATTTAGCATTTCTTTAGTATTTTCCAAATCATATTTTACTTTTTAGTATCTAAATTTTCAACCATTTGATGATGAGGTACTGGCATACTGCTTCAACAAAGTAGAATTGTGTTCAGAGTATTTTCTTATTGGCATCAGTACCAAACAAACCCTTAATTTACTCAATGTTTATTTGGGTTTCTTTACCAACAACACACTCTGAAAATTCCTCTTCGTTCAGCATAATTTGTGCAAAATTCTGCATTGTGATATAATAAAGTAGTAAGACAAAACAAGGGTCCCCCCACCCCATGTATCTTGACACTAGGCCCATCCATAGTAGAGTTTATATTGTCTTTTTAAGTTTAGTCAACAAACTATTGTTGAAATGTTTGTTCTGTCTGTGTTCTGGTGGGCAATGTTCCTGAATTGTCAATTCAATTCTATTATAACATTATTAT